ATCCTGTGAAACTGTTTGTAGAAAGAACAAGAACTGTGCTACCTGTGGTTTCATAGAAGCCTTTGGTCCATGTTTCTGTCTTCCATTCATTAGCTGATGACATAAACCTCACCTTTTGCTCTACATTGAGTCACCACAATGACATCAGCTATGGCTCTCCCCATAATTTATCAGTGCAGCAAAAACTCCTCCATGCACTAATTATCTTGTCCCCTTTGGCCAAAGCCTCTGAGCTGTTATAAGGATGAAGTCACCCAGGTTCTCCCTGGGCACCCAGTTCATCAGATTTTAGTGGACTTTTATTGAATGTCTTTTGGCTTTTGAAACCAAGCACTTGTGTCTGCACTGGAGCCTCATGTTTGCTGTGAGAGACACCGTTCTCCATCAGATTTTGCAAAACTCCCTTTTAGATCTGCATCTTGATGAATGATTAAAAAACTTCTATATTGCCAAAGAATTTGCTATAAAGAAAGGTATGTCCAACAAGTTATGCAATTACCATTATTAATCAGCTTGTGTCTTTACAAGATCAAGGGAATCTTATTTTACACTGGAATTTTTAGCTGATGAGCTGGATTCGTGCAGTATCTTTTCCTCCTCTTTAGAGTGGGATGGAGGGGAGTTCATTCCTCCAATGCTTCAAGAGACCAAATATCTATCCCCTGTTTATTAATTAATAATATCCATCTGGATTTTTATCCAAAGAAAAAGCATTCTGAGCCCTGTTGTATCAATTTTAAAATCTTTGGAAGCCTGGCTGTTCTTTCCTTGTTTTTAGCACCTACCTAGTTACAGCACATCAGGAATGTGAGCGGAGGACAGATGATGGATGGGAGGAGGCCGTGCTTGTGAAATCTTCTTTTTGATGAGTGGGAAAAACCAAAATAGGGTTCTTGAAAGCCACTGCAAGCCAAAACCAAAAGTCCTCTGACACTGAACATCCCCAGAAGATGAAAACCGTCCTCCCATTTCCATTGTCCCTGGCCTGAGCTTTTGATCTGATGCAAGGAATGTGGTATGTGTGTGAAGTCTAGAAAGTTTATGCTGGCAAATGGAGAAGGAGGAGGTGGGTTGAGTAAGCTGGGACTGAGCTTCAGGCACAGAGCGCTCGTGTCCCTGCAGAGGGCCCTGTTCAGGGCCGAGCCCGGCGGCCCCGGGGTGGGTTCTGCCGGCGCCAGCCCTGAGCTCCCAGGCCAGGCCTCGTCCTCCTCGTTCCCCGGGTGTTCACACGGAGCCGGCGCTGGACCCGGCTCCCGCTGCGCTGTTGGCAGGAGACATGGCCCCATTTCAGTCCTTTCCAGCCTTCTGACCCAGTTCAGCTGCGTCTGAGCCGTGGGGCCCGGAAACCAGAGACAAGCCCTGGTGCCGCTGGGGCTTCTGCCAGAGGCTCCAGTTCAGCGTGTCCAGTTGGGCTCAGATTTGACTTTTTCCTTCCATATGTGCAGAAAGACAAAAGCCTGAGTGTTTTGCTGAGTTGAGGCCACCCTTCAACTCAGACAACACAGCCCAAGGTGGAGAGGGAAGGATTTCTTGTCTTCTGTTGGAAATCTGCTCTCCTGGCACCACAGGCAGCAGCCACAGCTGCTGTCCTTCAGCTCCTTCTCTGTCCCTGCCCTGCCTGGGTGACTGACATTACCCATGGCATCAAGACATGGCATGAGGATATTTTCTGCTTCCATTCTTTATAGAGGCAGAACTTTTGTGTTGGAAGTGGTAATAGCAACAGAGGTGGGCTCTGCTTGCCATGAGGATTCCCAGTGGAAACCACACGTTCTTCCCTCGGTGTTATCCCTCTCTCTACCTCAACCTTATTGACTAGAAAATACCAAGATTTTAATACTGAGACTTTAATCCATTGCACATTTTGCTAATTTGCTTTCTGGCTGTGAGCCTCTGTGGTATCATTTTCCACCAGTTTACTCAGAGGACTAGAAACTTCCTTTTTTTTTCTTTAATGAAAGTGGGAATGCTCCTTGAGTCCCTTGACTACGGCAATGGCAGCCTTAAGAAAAACAGAACGTGACAGAAAAGAGATGAATGGCTCCAGTGCTATTGCAATAATGTGTAAGGAGCCCATTTGTGCTATGTGCTGTGTGAGCTATGAGAGGACACTCCTTGCTGAAAGAGCTGTGGATAGCTTGAGATTTTTGAATGTGACTAAATCCCTGGTGCTTTTCCTTCTTTAGTTTGGCTCCGTGGATCTCACGGATGTGAGAGCTCTCTTCTTTCTGCTTTATTTCTTTTGGGCACTTCTTCAGTCCTAATCATAAAAACTAGAATTTCTCAGCAATTTCAAGTCTGGAGACTTCCTGACCTCTATCATTTCATGCCCAGGGAAAATAAACTTGTTACTACGGTTTGAACTTTAATGACTGCAAAGTATATATAGTCAATTTATAAAAGCACATACTGGATTATTCTGTGCATGCCTTTAAAGCTTTTACAGCATTTATCAGCAGAGAGCTCATTTAAAACATGTTGTTTTAATGAAAAGGATACCATTGCCACTGTTTTGTGTTGATTATGTGGTAACACATTTTTATTATCACCCATAAAAGTGATTTGGAGCCGTTCCACTCCAGATGCGACCTTCAGCAGAGCTGTGCTAGCGCTGCTCGTGCTGCCCAGGAGGGCCACAGGCCCCTCCAGCTTGCTGGGCTCTGACCTCCACTGCCTTGATTTAATATCACTCTTCCCCCAGCTCTGCTGGGCTGTGGCAAAACACTGCTCAGAACAGCCCTTGTGTGTCCCTTCCTCGCAGCAGGAGCATCCCAACCCTGCCCTGGCTGCAGCCCCTCGGATCTGCCACCTCCAGGGTTAGTTTTCCCTCTGTGGCTCAGAAGATTTTGGCAACGTCCAGGTCCTTGCTGGGGAAGTAAGAGGATGATATAGTAAATAGTATAAAGTGATTCAGAAAAGGTCTTCAGCACACACTCAAGTCCCATGTCAGTGGGAATTAGGCACGGCTGTGGTAAGGCACATGCTCGAGTGTTTGTTAAACTGATAACACGTTTCCTTGAGGGTCTGACAGATAAATCACTGGGTAGGAGCACAGAGTGCAAGGGGCAGAAGCAATTCCCTCCTTGCCTGGTGTCAGAGAAGCCTGGTGACTAAAAGCACTGTGACCTTACTCCTTTTTGCTTTACTCAGAAAGCAGGACTCTAGGTCTGTGAATAAAGATCCTTGCAATAAAGGAAGAATTTTGCCTGTTTGCAAGGCTGACATTCAGTTCCCTTGCCCCTAACCCAGCTCCCAGTTTAATTAGTTTCTGATTCACCCCCATCAGGCCAGTACATTCTGCAGGAAGTTCATCATTTCTGGCGCTGCTGCAATCCTGGCTCTCCCCAGGCCTTGCAATAAAGAAGTGATAAACCTTGTAATAATTGCAAGTTAAAAAACAAACAAGCAGAGCCAAGTCACTCTCATTTATAATTGCAGTGTGACTTCATTATGTAAAGACAACACAGTGTGCAAAAGCTGAAACTTCTAGGGATTTAATGGAAAGTTTGAGCCATATTCTCTTTTATTTGCCTTATCCCTAAATCAGTGTTGCTTAGGTGGTTTTCGAACAGGAAAAGCTGATGCTGTAACAAACCCCAGTGCTGCACTCCCAGAACAATTTTCCCAGGTGAGTTTGTGTGTAGGAAGCAGAGTTTGCTGGAGGTGCTGGAGTCTTGGATCTAAACTCTGGTTCTAGAAACCTCAGCCCTGCTCCTGCCTGATGGGTGTCCTGTGTCCATCCTGGGCAGGGATCCCTCCAGCTGCAAGGGGAGGGGCAGGGTGGCTGCTCATCCCAGGCATGGCCAGTGCAGGGACTGCCAACCCTTTGGCTGCCCCACTGGGACAGTGGCTGCTGCCCTTGGCCTCTGTTTATCTTCTGCCTGGCTGGAAAATCCATTTGCTGCAGGGCCCAGGGGTTTGGCATTCCAGGCTTAGACTTTTCCAGGAGAAATCCGTAGACTACTTTGTTATGCCACCCTTGCTAGTGGCTGGGAAGGCAGAGGGATGAAGCATTTAGATTAAAATAGAAAATTCATTATATTTTAAAAATCCTTATTTTGTGAAAAGTTTCATTTAAAATGTTGATTATAAAGGGCAATGAATGTTCTGCTGACCTTCACTTTAATGGAGTTTCTCAGTGGGCAGAGCCAACCTGGGTCCTCCGTCCTTCTGCTTTTTGTGGACATTTAAGCTTTTTGCAGCCATGTGAGAGACAAACTCCCAGTTTCATACAGGGGAGCACAGCTTAATGAACAGTCTGAATCATGTGTAGGAAGTGGTGTCACTCTTCCTAGGAGTGTAGGTTGTAAATGGCCTAAATAGCTCAGGGATGCCCACTGGGATGTGGGTTTATTTGAAGGTAGTGTTTGCAAGGTGTAGAAACAGCTGTGAGTTTTAGTAATATCCTATTACTTCTAAGCTGAGCTCTTTGAGGAAATAGCTTGCTTTTTTTTTTTTAATTTTCTTCAAAGTTAAAGCACTTCAACTCTTTAAAAGCTTCATCTTCTCCATCATCTTTAATTTGGTCAGTATTTGTGTGCTTCACTTACAGCCAGTGCTTGTGCTCAGTTTGCTACCCTGGGCCTCCAGGTACTGCCCTTCACTTTGTCCCAGCTTTCAGTAATTTCTGATCCTGTGACTCTGGCTTTGAACACATAACCCAGGGAAATGCTGTGTCCCCTGGCACCAGCTTTGGTCCCAGGGTTCATGTTTCTTACCAGGGAGACAATCCCACACGAGTCTCTCTGGAGGCAGTGAAGTCCTGCTCTCCAAGGAGGGTGTGTGACCCTGTTACAATGAACACAACACCTTCACATCCCAATTGCTGCCACTGTCCAGAAAACCCATAAAGCTTTACCACCAAAATCCCACTGTTTGGGACACAGAGTTATTCCCAGCTCCTGCTGGCAAGGAGAGGAGTTTCAAGACCTCTTCAGGAATAGAGGCCATGTATGAAACCATCCAGCTGACCATGTTTGCATTCCTGTGTCCTGGTGCAGATCCTCCTGCTCGAGGCTGCGGAGCGAAGCCCATCCCTGGAAAACAACCTGCCCATCACCGGGACCACGGCCACGTGGTATGATGATCTGCTGCCAGATGCCTTTCCCCTCCTCAATCCTGGGACTGTCCTGAGAAAAACAGTGGGATCTGCTGGTAAGTCTAACCTGCTCTTCACCAAATCACCCATCCCACATACACACAATTCCTGCAGGGTGACTAAAAACGAGGCCATGTCAACCTGCCCTGCTGTTGGAAGCTGCAGAGGAGAGGGCTTGGAAGGTCTCTGCCCTTCCTTGAGTTCAGCCAGCTCAGAGCACCATGTTCTTGGAAGAAAGTAGCAAAATTCAGAGACTAATATCTCTTTCCAGCTGTGATGGCCTGTGACAGCCTCGATTTCTGTTGGCACAAGGATCCACCCAGAGCTGAATCCTGGTCTCTGGGAAGTTTGAATTCTGTTAACCTCAGCAGGGCCACTGTGCCTCCCTGTGTGTTTCAGTTGTTTGTTTTAAGTTCAGAAAATATGGATTTTGAGGCCTGGATAGATTGAAACATTCCTGAGGAAACTCCAGAGAGCCATCAGGAGCACAGTGGGACAGTTCAGACTCACCTACTGAGCTCTGACTGCAGCGTTTCCCCATCTGGGAGCAGTGCTGGGGGTAGAGGACTGGGCTGCACGGGTAATTCTTGGGTTTATTAGGACAAAAAGCTTTCCCATGAATAGCAACATCAGTTGCAGTCTGCTTTATATTTTCTAAATTTGCCATAAACACAATGGGCTGTTTTATGATCCCTCTTGTGGCATGGAAAAAAAGTACACTTATAAGAAACTCTCCCTCTGAGCCCACTTGGCTAGACAGATCCCCACGCATTGAATTTCCTTGACCTTGGCATCTTTTTTCAAGATCCCTGCTCTCTGCTTCCAAAGGCCTGTCTGTCTGTTGCTTTGCTTGCTCCCAGAGTAGTTCTTTATTCTCTTTAGGACCTACTTTGCTTTTTTCTTCTCTTTTTTTTTTTTTCTTCCCTTTTAATTTTTCGGACCGAGCAGTTTATTATGGCAGCCCTTCATGACTGCAGCAGACTTGGAGCAACCAACACAGTCCAGATGTCGTCCATGTTTATGATCTGACATGATGCCACAACGTGGAGGGAGGTTCACTAACAATATGTTCTGCAAAGTATTTTCAGAGCCACAGCAACAGCTGCCAGGAACTGAATTAGAGCAGTTTCCCCCAGTGTCCATTACAGGCTCCTTCTGCCTTCTCCATGTCATTTATTTGTGCTGTCACAGTATCTCTGCACCTGCACTTTGTTGTACTAAAGTCAGTCCAGTGAAATGCTGGTGATTGTCCCTCCCACTCAAAGTCATGATCGTGCCTCTCTGAGCACAGAGCAGTGACTGCCTCTCGCCCAGGCTTTTGGAAAGCAGAGCAGCTCTCCTGGAGCACTTGCAGCAGGGCGACCCCATGGAGCAGCACCAGCACCCCTGCAGCACATCCAGGAGGTAGCTGGTGGTCACCTCCAACAGGCAGGTGATGCTGCCTGAGCTGTGTGTGAGCCTGTCGTGTCAGCCAACCCTCCAGCTGTGTGTGTGCTACCAGGTGTAGTCCTTGCTCACTGTTCCCCTTTGTTTTTCTAGCCTTGATTTATTTAACCTAGTGTGGAATAACAACTCCAGTGTAATCACTGGGAGTCAGGAATGCACTGGACCGTTTCGAGCCAGGACAGTGTCTTTCAGCAATTAGAAATAATCAGTTAAGTTGCTTATTGACATGTGGTTCCCTGCTGAACCCCCTGCCTGACCTCTGTGGGCATCAATCCTTGCCTGGCTAAGGAGCTGTGGGGATATTTCATGGATCTGGGTCCACATTTGGCTTCCTTCCCTCCCCACACTCATCTGTATCTCCAATTCAAACCCAGCCACAAAAACTCCCTGTGGATTTTGGTGAAGTGCAGGGAATTCCATGCAAATAGTTTAGGATGGAGGGGAACTGCCCATTTTGGATGATTTCAACGCTGTGCTGTGACTTGTTGCCCAAAGCTGCCCCCAGGTTCTCCTACAGAGCTCGCAGACCTCAGGAGATCTTTCAACAAGTGGGATATTAGAGTAGGTGGAATTCAAACCTGAGTGTGGAAAGCCAAGCCCCTCTCCCTTCCACTCCCTTCCCCGGCGTCTTTGTGAAACATTCCCTACTTTGCCCTGCTTCTGGGTGCTCAGCCAAAATAAATCCAAGTCCTAGCTTGTGTGCCACCAGCTTTCTCTGCCAGGTGGACCAAGAGCAGAACACTGAGGCCTGCCAGGAGGGTGGTTGACATGGATGGGATGCTGGGAATGCTGGGAGTGATTGGGGTGACCTTGTGGCTCTGGGTTGGCTGATGCCTCTCCAGGCCGAGGTCCAGGAAAACTTGCTACTGTTTATGAGGGGAATTATTTCTTCTGTGAGTGACAGGGCTGAGAACAGACAATCATTTAAAAGCAATCAGTGCTGTTGAGACAGCTGCACCACTGGCCTTTCTGATCAGCTTGTTAATCAACAGGATACATTTTTCTGAGTATTAAGAAAATATATATACTCTGGCTGAGCCAGTTGGCAGCAAGAGACCTAATTTTTCATCCTCTCTCTTTTTTCTCTCTCTTTTTAATTTTTTTTATTATTATTATTTCTTTTACCCTGTCCTTCTTTACCAGAGCCCAAAGGACACAGAGGTGCTGAGGAGCAGCTGATACCTCAGGGTAAGTTAATGGTTTCTGCTGTTTCTCTTTCAAAGCCCAAACAGTTGTTATGCCCAGTCCTGTACATGACATGTCCCAAAAAGCAGAAGGGTGCTGAGGCCAGGAACCCTCAGAGATTTGAAGCCTCACAGATAGAGAGGCTGGGTTTGTTCTTCGGGTTTTATCTGATCATGGACTGCTTTGGTTAGAGAGGCCAAACACCAGCTCTGTCATCTCTGAGACACTCATTTCCCAGCACACAGGGCATGGAAAGCCAGGTCACTGGAGCACATGTGGCCAGAGCCAGCAGGGCATGTGCTGAGTGATGGGAGAAAACTCTTATTACCTTACTAGTTTTGCCTGCCAGGGGCACTGAGGTCCACTGGGGATGCTCAGGGCATGGCTTTGCTGAGCTCCATGTGAACAGAGCTCCTGGGTCTACATTTGCCTTCCTTCCCTCCCCACACCCATCTGTATCTCCAAATCAAACCCACCCTGCTCCTGTACAGGGAAAACCCTGGGGAGGAGAGGGGAGCAGATGGTGTGTTGCAGGTTAATGACAGGACCAGGAAGAAAATCCAGGCACATCTGATTTGGTTTCCAGCAGTAGAATACTCACACTCTCCCTTTTAAAAAATATTTTTCCTGTGGCCTTTTGCTTCATATTTTTGGAGGATAAACACTTGCCATGGGCCTGAGCTCTCTGAAAGCAATGCCACTGCAGCAGAGCTGATTTATGCCAGCTGAAGATTTGGCCTATTCATCTCCCTCCCCCCTTTTCCCTGAATCCTTCCCTCTTTCTTCTCCCTTTTGCACTTGTCTCTTTTATGCTGGTAACACCATTTGTCACCAGTGTGAGCATTTGCCTGACACATTACTCAGTGCTGCTTCTCCCAGCCTTTCCCTCAGCGCTTTCCCCTCCAGGGGAGGAAGTGCCACTTTCTCTAAAGCTCTGCTGCAGCAGAGTGATTGAGGATGCTGCAGGAAGGGATTGCTCCTGGTCTGCAGGAGTTCATGGGATTGAGTTATAAGGTTGAACTGAAGGATTGAGGCTGATTTATCTGAGTGAGGGAACGTTCTGACCCGCACTCAGCAGCACAGCGTGTTGTGCTTGCAAAACAGTTTCTCTTGTTCTTCCCTCTGTGCTGGAAAGAATTTGCTGCAATGAAGTTTCAGGTGTGTTGGAAGTTTTTGACAGGGGGAGAAGCTGTTTGCAATGCTGGGAACAAATGCTCTTGCTTTCTTAAATGGGCTCCTGATCACCTGCCTGAGCTTGCCAGGACAGCACCCACTGCCAGGTGAGACCCATTCTAAGAGCCCCTCATAGGAAAGTCTGCACTTTGTGTCCTGGGGATAAGCAAATCGATCCAAATTAAAACCTCACCTTAATTCCTTGTTCAATACCAAAATCAGATCTTTACTGATGACTGAATGCAGCAGAAGTACAGGCACACCCTGCCACACAAAGCCTTTGAGCCTCTTCAGTCTACCTGGTTTCACTGTGGGTTAGAGGTGGATAGATTTCATTTTTGTTAGAAAAAATAATTTGGACATCATTCCAAAATGGAAAAAAAAAAAAAAAGAAGAGAGGAAGGGGAATATTTCCAGGGGGTCTAATATTGGGGATTATTGCTTTGCTCTGAGAAATGAGGAGAGTTTGGATGAATGTCTGGGGTGACAAGGTTTTGTACCCCAGGTGGGCTGTCCCACACCTAGAGTGGGAACTGGATCCAAATGTGGGAGCTGCAAATCCAGTGAGCCTTGATTTTATTGTGTAGCCCTGCTCCCTGAGGTACCAGCTGTGAGGGTGTTAGTTGGCCAACTTCTTTCCTTTTCTCCTTCTCTGCTTCTGTTCCCATCCATGCTCTCCACCCCCACATGAAGCAGGTTCTCCTGGCACTGCTCTTGGAGGGTCCAGTACCTCTCCTGATACTGGGAAAGGAGAAAGACACTCCTTAAAACTGATCAAACTTCAAATTGCTCTGCTGGGTTATGGTCATATATAATACTGAAACTTGGAAATGGACTGAAACTTGAAAACTGAGTGTGCTGAACTTTGGACTCAGCCTGTTCTCCCTCTGGCTTTGGAGCTTGATCTGCCACTGCTTACAAATACTCTGAGCCCTTGGTAGCCCAGAAACCAGGAGCCTCTGACTCTCTTGGCTCTGACAGTCAATGCCTTTATTGTAACCATTAACCACTTAATCTGAGCAGACAGAGTAACTCAGCCACGTCTCCAAGGTATTAAAGGCTTCACTGCTGTTTGCACAGTGTTTAAGTGTCTCTCCACATGAGCCAAAGATGTGCAGTGTTTTTCTGAAAAACACCATCAAATTGCCGAGTGTTGTTATTATTTTGATAGTCTAGAGGGAACAACACTAAGATTTTATTCAGTGTCATCAGAAAGAGTCCCTTTCAGGTCACAAACACTGCCCTGCACCTTTTGTGGGCTCACTGGGGGTCTGAGTGGACTTGCCAAGGAACATCCCACTGGGCTGCAATTACTGTGCTACTGGTGCTTCCAGCAACCCTGGAACCGTGCTCAGCACCCTGTTTGTGGACATAAATTAATGCCATCTATTTACTTCAGAAGTGGGGGTGCAATAATTTCAGTTTGGGGTGAAAAAAGCATGTGCACAGCGTGGTGCATTTGTGAGGTGAATGAACACAGGAGAAACCAGGGAAACATCTTTGGTGCAGAATCTCTGGGTGATAGGTAGAGATCAGCCAGAGCAAGTGGGAGGCAGGGTTTGATTTGCTTTTGCAAATGTATTTTGTGTATTTTGATACATTGGGACTATCCTGGAGCTGGCTGAACCCAGCACAGGACAGGCAGAGCTTGCCTCAAGCTGCTCAGGCCTTGGGGAGGGCACAATGTGGGGGCTCAGTTCAGCTCTGCCCAGCACATCCCAGCTGGAGGTACACATCCTGCTGGCTTTTTGGGGAGGGCATTGTACATGGGGAAAAGCCTCTTTTTTTTAGGGATTGGAGGAATTAGAGGAGAAGCAAGGCCCAGTCTGGCTCTTCTGCTAGACAGCTCTTGCCACCAGTGCCACCCTGTCTGGGCACAGCTCCATTTCTCCTCCTGTGCATCTCTGAGTCTCTCTCCTCTGGTTTTGAGGAACTGCCCTCAAAATCTCCAACTAACCTCCTTTGTGAATGGTTTCAGGGCTGCCAGGACAGGTTGGCCCTCCAGGCCCAGTCGGACCAACTGGTCTCCCAGGACCACCAGGGCCAAAAGGAGAGAAGGGACAACCCGGAGAGAGGGGCCCAGCAGGGCCACCAGGTGAGTGCTGGAGGAGGGCAGTGCTACTGAGACAGGAGATGTTGCACTTTGTACAAACTGCCTGTGACAGCAGACCATCAAAGGCCAGACACACGAGATGCTGAGCATCTTCAGTTGGTATCAAATCCATTCCAGCGAGTCCCCTGGGCACTGAGATCAGCCAGGAGCTCTCAGGGCAGGCACCACCTGCACGAGCAATGACAGACCTTGGGATTTCCTGTGGAGCTGGAGAGAGCTTGTCCCAGAAAGCTGCAGAGCAGGATCATGTTTCCCCATCCTGCTCAGGAGCTGTAAGAAACAGCCTGTGACCTGTCAGCCTTTGGAGCAGAGTGTTCCCTGTTTAACCCCCTCACTGGGTGCCTGTTTTAACTCCCTTTTTTCTCCACCATTTGTGTCAAGCTGTCAGATGCCAGGATGTCAAACTAATGATGCTTTTGTATGTAAAGGGAAAAGGTTATGAGGCCATTCTTTCAGAGAACACTCCATTCCTGAGCTGGGAGACTTTCTTCATCCTCAAAATGTTCCTAAATGTTTTGATGAAGGAGATACTACACAATAGGTGCCAGACCTCGGGCTCTGTGCTCTCTGTGGCTGAAAGGCTGTGCCTTGTAAGTCTGAGCTTGGGAAAGATTTAAAACTCTGAGCGTGCCTTAAATGTGAGAGCAGCCCTGACTGCTTTTTGGCACTTTCTGGCAACCTCTCAATGGCCGAAGTCTGGCCAAGGACGTGTCTGCCTTTGGGTTTCTCAGTTTGCAACGAGAGCCTTCCAGCCCCACAGGAAGTGGGATCAGTCTGCTGCTGGACTGACTGTGTTTCCCTTGTTCTTCCTGTGCTTTCCTGGCAGTAAGGTGACATACAGGTGTACCTGGAGGGGAAGAGAAAGATTTGATTTCACACCTTGCTTTAGTTTCTTGCTCAGCCTCAGGGAGGGGGGAGATCTCCCTCTTTCAGGAATTAAGCCAAGTCAGGCTGTCTGCTTTGCAGGGGAAGATGCTAAACAAAAAAAGGGAAAATTGGGAAGCTGTTCCTGTTTCCCCCCACACCCCTAATTCCCACAACTGCAGTTTAGGACAGAAATCCTTTGTCTTTTTACTGCCTTTTTACAGGATAGCATCATTAGCACATCCCCAAATGCACTAACACATCCTCTCCTGCCTCTGCACAGGGCTGTTGGGACCTCAAGGACCAAGAGGACTTCCAGGAGAAACCGGGATCCCAGGTCCCCCAGGTCCTCCGGGGCCACCAGCCACCCCGAGCCTCCCTCTTACCTTCCAACAAGGGGTTCTCTACTCGCTCCAGCCCACAGCTGAAAAAGAAAGTAAGTTCCCTCCTCAGTTGCCATGTTTTCCTGGCACCTCAGCAGGCATGGAGCAGCTCAGCTCTTCCACCTCCTGGCCCTGCCAGGACCCTGGGAGCAGCTGGACAATCTGTCTCCACTGTGTGGGGCTCTTGGAAGTTCCTGTTCAAGATGAAACCCCTTAGAAGCTGGAGGGGTTCACCTCTCCAAAATGAAGAACTAAGTCACTGCTCTCCTAAAAACCAGTGAGAACAGGACTTGGGGGATTTTTTTCCCTGGTTTTCTAGGTCCATCACAGCTTTGAGGAGGCAACTTGGTGTCCTCTAAGCCTTCATCATGTGTGGCTGCTGGGAAGAGGGTCTGTAGGGAAATGAGAGAGCTCAGGTAGTGTCACCTGAGGGACAAGAGGCAGAGAAATGCAGAGTCTGGCTCAGGTGCTGCTGTTGGGAACCTCTTGGTGCCGCTGTTGTGGTGTGGGAGTGTCAGGGCTGCTCAGGAATCAGTAAGGACCAAAATTTGTAACTCTGGAATTATATAACAGAACAAGGACATCTGTTAAATGTGTCTCTTCCCCTGCCCCCGCAGCTGCATCTTCCACCTGCGTTTCTGGTGCTTCCACATGATCCCCCATCCACACAAAACACACACTGGAAAGCCCAGATTTGTCCCTTCCCTGTAACTGGAGGGTCAGGGGGTTTAAGAAATGTATTTATTTGATTTGTGCTGTGCAGGGCAAGAAAAGGCTTTCTAAGAAAGACACACCCTGCATTTGGGTTGGAGCACTCTCAGATTTGGGCTTGATTCTTCCAGTCCAGTCCTGTGTACCTGGCATCTAGTAAAGATAAAGCAGAGCTCAGCTGTGTCTCCACTTGGCTGGTAAATTCCTGGAGCCTCAGCTCCCATCTCCACTCCCCCAGACTTCAGCTGTGCCTCTTCCCAGCTTTACTGCTCATGTCCAGCTTCAAAGCTCAGTTGTCTTAGTTACAGCCAAGGATTAGTGAGTCTCCCCTTGTCTGACAGTTATCCAGAGCTCTCCTTTCCCTTCCACCCACTCTGCTCTCCAGACTCCCTTTCCTGAAAGTGAACAGATGTATTTTTAATTTGGGAAGAATTTTAACAGCTCCATTTCATATGCAGTTACTTAGAGCACATGGACAGGATGAATAATTGCAGTCCCACACTAAGAGTTTGAGAAAATATAAATTGATCTGCTGTGTTCATGAGTGTGGAACAAGGAAGTTTTGCATTACAGTCCCCTCACTCCTCACAGGATCACACCAAATGGTGCCAATCTGCATTCAGCCTTTTATTCCAAGTGATCCTTCAGGATCCTCCTTCCAATCACCCTTTAAATCAAACTCCTTCTTGCAAAGGAGTGAGTAAATGAAAAAATGTATAAAGCTATTGATTACACGGCCTTTCCAGCTGATGTGTCCCAAAATGGGAAGAGGATAAATGAGTGGATAATTATCTGTATTAACTCTGCCAGCATTGGGCAGCAACAGGCTCCCACATGGACTTGAGGAAATGAGTAAATGGTGACTGTTACATTTACATCCCTGGGCATCCCTCCTCCACACCTTGTGGATTTCTTGGTTTCCACAAGGAGTAGCCCAAAAATTTATGACAATTTTTCTTAATACAAACCTAACTACAAATATCTGTGAGGTCATGATAATGTTACAGCACTACCAAGCCCATTTTCTTACCAAACTTACCATTTTGCCCATGTATTGGCTGACTCTGCCCACCACAGGTTGCTGGGAAGCTGATCCTCTTTAAGCAATAAAGCTTAGCCTTGTAAATTCTGAGTAGATTAAAAAAAAATGTATTTACTGGTTTTGAATGGAGCACATCTGAAAACTATAAACACAAGATTCCAGCTGCTGACAGCAGAGGGAAGCATATTCCTGGTAATGGGCCTGTGCACCCATGGAGATGTGAGTTGTATCAGGTTATTTTTAGTAGCACAGTGTTTGGTTCTGCCTGGACATGGTTAATGCCTGTGCCTTTATTAATCACAAGTTCCTGCTGGCAATATTTATCAGCAGGCAGAAGCCAAAAATGGGGAGACAAATATTTTCTTGCAGTTTTGCTGTGCTGTGGTAAAAAAATTGGTCCCAGTTGTTTCCCTCCAGATCAGGTAGCAGAAAAAAATTAAGACAGGATTACTTCATTTCCATCCTGTCTCAACAAATCAAGCCTATAATGGGGGAATTTATCCCTTAGTCAGAAACCTTAGACCTAGGCCAGAAGCTGAACTGCTGTACCCCTGCTGGGGCTGCTGCTGCTGGGATCACTCCCTTTCTCTGCCACTTAAAAATGAGTGATCAGGTACCTGGTCTAGAGTCAGTTCAGACCTATTTCTTGTGCTAACACTGAGAGTTTTTAGGGAAAAGAAGGAGAAAAGAATGCAACTTTTGCTCTGTTGAAGGCTGTGTTTTCTTACATCTCAATGATTTCAGTTTGCAAAGGACAGGTGAGATAAAATTAAGAATCATCACAGTTGGAAAAGACCTCTGAGGTCAAGTCCAGCCACTAACTCAGCACCAGCACCATGTTCACCCCTAAATCATGTCCTCAAGTGCCACATCCACATGTTTTTAAACACTTCCAGGGATGGGGACTCCACCACTTCCCTGGGCAGCCTGTGCCAGTGCCTGAGGGGACAGCAAAGGGAAACTGAGGCCCAGTGGGCTGTCTGTGTGCCCAGCATAGGGCACAGCTCAGGGGTTTATGAAGTGACATCCCAGTGCCTGCTGCCATGGAAAGCCCTTCCTGAGGAAGGAGAACAGAGCAGAGGAAGTAAAGGGGAAGGAGAGGAGGAAGGGAACAGCATGTGATTGAGAAAACCAACTGTTCTCAAAGCCTGTACCCCTGGTTAGGCAGGTTTCCCTGTGTCCTTCAGGGCATTCCTGGGCTGGTTCAGGTTTCCCCTTTGCAGGATGGCTGTGCCCTCTTCCAGGGAATGTAGATGCTCCTACCTGACCAGGTCAGACTGGTTGCACTCTTCCTCTTGGCTTGGCCAGCAGCTGGAAAGCTCCTGGAGCAAATTGTATATCAAGGTCTTCTCAAACAAGGCAGACTTTCTGCTTTGGTGTATCCAGAAGCACAGAAACATCCAGCCCTGGAGCCCAGCAGGGCCTGGGTCAGTGCAGGAGATGGCTGAGAAGGGAATATTGTTGCTGCCATTTGATGCTATTTTGTGGCTGCCCTGATGGCCTCCAGCTGCAGAGAGCCCCAGAATGTCCCTCTGTTTATGAGGAGAAGGGATATTATAAGGAGGTACAAGTTCTTCCTGCTGCTTTACAAGAATATGGAGAAAGTCCCTTAAAAAAATGTGAGGGTTGTGTTTTAACACACTTGGATCCCATTTCATTGACAGTATGTTTCATTCAGAGCTGCTCCTGGAAGAAAACCTGGATCTGGGTGAGTTCTGCCTGGCCAGGCAGCTGAGGAAGGATCATGCCATGAGGCCAAAGCAGGAGCTGCTGAGCTCGAGGGCTGTTGATCAGAGCTCTCTTCTGTGTCACAATTATGGAATCACCTTTCATAAATAACGTTGAGTCAAATGTCAGGATGGGTGGATTTGTGGGAGTAACTCTGTCATCATAATAATGTACCATTTAGCTGGAATGTTTTGTAACCCAAATCCTTATCCCTGGCTTACCTCCAGCAGTAATTAAACCCTGGTTGTTTGCAGGCCATCCTCTGCCCCTCTCAGTGGATGTGCCTTTGATTTTGTTGACCACATGTACTTTAAAAACAAAAGGCTCTGCAACTGTTAATGCCTTCACTGCTGTTTGATGCTCATTTCCCAATTTCATCTTACTCCCAGGCTGTGATGGATTTTGACATGGTCAAATAAAACTCAAATTAATTGGATTACACACTTCACTGGGGTACCTTTCCTTCTGAACATGAAAACAGTCTCAGTTGTTTTGTTTCAGAGCTGTGAGGAAGGGAAGATGAATGGGTTTAGAAACAATACTCAAATAAATACCTGTTTGTATTCAGGCTTTAGGCACGAAATTTGGTTCTCAGAGGGATCTGGGTTGGATCTTGTGCTGCTCTGCTGCCAGGGAGGCATTGCAGAGATATCCTGTCATCCTTGGCAGTTAAAGCCATTTGACAGTTTTCCCTAGGAACTACTTTCAAACAACCAGCTGGAAAGGCCTCTCTGTCTTTGCCAACGCTCCAGAAGCTGAAAAGGCTTCATAATGTGTCTGCTAAAATTTCTGGAGAGTTCACCTTCTGACCTTTGGGCTGAACTCTGCAGAGTAAGCAAACACCCTCCTGATCTTCCTGGTGTCATTTGACATTTACAGTGAGACATTTTCAGTCTTTTACTGCAGAGGATTCCCCTGAATTTTACTGTGATGAGTTAAAGGGATGGGTGGAAGGAAACATGACTAAGTTTGAGGTCATGGGCAGGAGGAGATGGACATTATTTCTGCCTGGTGGTCTCCAGCTGTGGAAAATGTGGGCTTTTCAGAGGGTTTACTGTCCCAGTGGCCAGGAGGCAGCACCTTCATCCAGGTTAAATGCAACAGGAAATATGTTGTTGGTCCTACAGCACAGGTCAGGACAGGGGATTGCAAGTCTCAGCAGCACCAGGACATAGGGGTTCCCTTCCTTGTTTTATGATCATGTTGCCTTGGTTGTCCATGGAATTTTTGCCCCTGAGTTTCCTCAACTGTCCAGTAGTGTTGTGGGGTGCTCAGATAAAAGATGCTGCCATACAGGTACTCCCACAGGTTACTGGGATGCCACAGCACAGCTCCACAGGGAATAGGGTTGTTGAATATGGTTTTGGAATTGCAATAAATATTAAGGGTTGCTTTTTACATATAGTTGGGGTTTTTCTATTCAGATGCCAACTGACATGGTGACCCTATTGGCTCAAGGCTGAGGGAAGAGGGGACATCTACAGGCTGCTGATTTTTATTCCTAACAGGAGAGGACTGAGAAAGATGTGTTAAAACACAAAGCTCCTCCAATTCCTGCTGTTGGCTTTCCCTTCTCTGCTCTACTCCCATTTCCCTTCATTTCCCAGCAGTGACCCTGCCCAAGCTGGCCAGATGAACACCTAAAATAATCCTTAATGGGAGGAAAGTTTGCTGAGCACGTGGAGGGGGCAGAGCACACCCTCTCCCTGGGCTTTTCTGCATCCTTAGACACGGCATCTCCCCCCAGCACCTCCCCCAGGTGAGCTGGGCTGGGGGGATGTGCCAGGCTGGCTCAGCAGGTCACTGATGCCAGGCAGGAGGGACATCCAGATCCATCCTTGATTCCTCAGGTAGCCAGAAGCCAGTTGGGTCAGTTATTCAAGGGTAGGGTTATACAGGTGTGCAGGGACACCAAGTTTTTGATAGAAAGGACGACTCTCCCGTGGTTCTCAGAGGTGAGATGAGCAGCTCTGCAGGGTGAGGGGACACAACCCTTAGAGAGCAAAGGGCAAGTGCTCCAAGAGCCCAAATTTAGCATCGTGCAGCACTGCCTGCCCTTGGCCAGCAACAGGCGCCAGAGGATTTTGGAGAGCAGTCCTGTTTGCTGGACACTGACTCTGCTCCTTCCACAGATGGAGAAGCCCAGCTGGCCTCCACCGTCATCGACACCATCATGGCTGGGCTGCCCGGGCCACGGGGAGCCCCGGGGCCTGTGGGGCCACCAGGTAACACACGGGGCTGGGCTGCAGAGCTGGGCTGGGGGGGAAGAGGAGCAAGGGGGTTTCTGATGGAGAGTGAGATGCATGCAGGGAAGGCAGGTGGTCCTCAGTGGAAGGGCAGTAGTGGGTCCAGGAGTGGAAGGGTGGAAAGAACTAACCAGGCTTCTTATGTCTTGATAGTGGCAGATGGTTTTACCTTCAGCAGCACACGCCTTGAGAAGGGGCTGGTTAACAGACTGTCCTTAAGAATGGGTTGTCCAGGGAATTCCTTTGTGAGAGCAGAGTTGTTCTCACCACTGCTGCAATCCTGTTCTGTCTCTGTGGAGCTCCACCAAGCAAGGTCTGGCCAGCTGCTCTGTGATGTGTATGAAGACTTTGGAGCTGCTTTGAGCTATTCCAAACTTTCACCAATATAAATCAGAATCTGGGATGAAAATTCAGTGGCAAGTCTTCTCTCTGTGCTGATGGGTGGCTTAAATGATAATATTCCTGCACACATCAGCACTTCCCTGTATGATGCATATTTAGGAGTGAACTCCCATTAGTTGCAGAAAAGGCTTTTCCTTTCATTATGAGGGCCTTTCATTTACCCTTCAATTCCTTTATTCTTTGACTTAAACATTTGTATGGTGCATTAATGATTGAGGCTGATTCAGCTGTACTTGGTGTATAATGTCCACATTGTTTCATCTCAAGGGTTTTGACAACTAAAGCAGAGAGGAGTCTTGCTAAGTTCAGACTAAGCAAATATCCTGTCTCCCACTTGCAGGTATAATTGAACAGCTACTGTTGAGATATAATTATTTTTTCAAAAGGAATGAATCTGTTAAGTGACTGTGTAAAATAAGTTGACCTGTTTAGACAGTGTTTAACTCATCCTGGAAGCAGCTCTTCTGTGGCACAGACTTTAATTTACTGCCCCTGGAGTGAGGGAAGAACCAGAGAGCTTTGCTTTGCCCCAGTCAGCCTCTCTCCTGGCTATGGCCAAACTCCATCTCCTTTCTGACACACCAGAGACCAGTTGTATCAGGCTTGTGGCTTCCCTGCCACCCACGAGGCTGTTTCAGGAGCAGCACCTTGCTCTGATGTTGCTGTTTCACAAGTCTAGTTTAAGTTTTCTCAAAGGTTGCATTTTAAGCAATGGAAATGCAGAATGTTACTGACATCCTTCCTGCCTGTTTTCACCCTTTTTTTCCTCCCAGAGCTCTAACATCTTCCCTAGGGCATAGGGATGTATTATGTCAGGATTTGGTATCCAGCAATCCAGGGTGGAATGAAGGGCTCGTGGTGCAGTCGTGGGATCGAGGAAGGGCTCTCACCCACAACAGAACATGAAAGGAGGTGCATGCATTTGGAATTTAGGGTTCTTCCTTCTAAGTCTCCTTAAAATTGTCTCCAATTACAATTCCCACAGGGCCACCAGGTGCATCAGGACCCAAAGGGCCCCCAGGACCTATTGGAGCCCCTGGATCACAAGTAAGGTGCTTTAGTGCTTTGGGGTGAGGGATGGAGTCGGGGGTTAGGGGTGAAACATCATCTCGTTGCACAAAGAGGGAGAGGAGTTGAGAAGACTTAGACCTGCTGGTTTGTCCCCCATGAAATTCTGTGATTTAGTACCTTTTTCTCATCCTGGATTGTGCTGAGAGGTTGTGCTTTTCAGATTTTCCCTTAATCTTAACAACACATCTTGCTGTTGCTGTGTCAAAACATTTCATGTGGCCTCAGTTGATGCAAAGGATCTGACATGGGCTTTACTGACACAGTGATAGAAAAATACTGCATTTCTCGTGGAACACAGAAAAGAACAAAAATGCATCAGTGGGAATTCACCAATTCACCAGAGTGAATGTGTTAAGCCTGTTTTTTCAGACACAGCACTTTCTATTCAAGAAAAATATCACGAATTCCCATCAGTTTGATTATTTATTGATACAAACATTGTGGGGGGGAGATAATAACGGAGTGTGATAAACTCACTCAAAAGAATTTATGGTAGAAGAAAGGCAAAGTACTCACATAGATGGAAAAAGCTGGTTAAATGGAAAGAAGTGAAGTCATGATGAATAGTGAACTGCCAAACTACTCCAGATTGCGGTTGGCTGACACAAAGGGACTCAGTTTTGGGAAGAGTGTTGCTTAATGTGGAGGTAAACCAGTAACATCAAATATTTCAAGGGAATCTAACATGACTGAAGAGCACAGAGAAAGGTTAAGTAACTTAGCAGAGGGATGTAACTTAGATCCTGACAAGAGGAGGTTTGGAGTTGAAAATCGAGAGGTTTTCCCCACGCAATTTATTAACCACTTTAAGGAAGCATTGGACAACAGGTTAGTGAAAGTTTGCCAGTGTAGCAGAATCATTTCAATTAGGGAATGCTCTGGAGAACAATGAGAAACTCCAGATAGATGTGAACACAGTGGGAGATTTGGCAGCAAAATGACAGGCAGTTTAACGTGATTAAATATAAGGTAATTCACAATTCATAAGTACATTCTGAAGTAGAGTCTGGCTTTTTGACATGCAGCACACACTGTAAATCTTTTATTTTTCACAATGTGGAAGTTCTTGAGCATCCCTGTCTAACCAGGCACTGAAAGTCTGAAAGTCACTGTTGAGAGCTGTCAAGAGCAAAGGATCTCTGTGGACACTTGAGCTTTGTTCATGCTGCATGTTTGACATGGGGCCAAGATGGTTTGTGCCCTACCTCATTTGGCAGCCCTAATTAGCCTCCTAAACCAGGCCTGAGTCTCTGAATCTTTGGTGGGCCCAGAGGAGCTGTAGCTAAGCTGAGCTGCTGCTGGCAGCAGGCAAAGAGCAACATGTTAATGGTGAGCATTGCTGGCTCCCAGCTGGAACTGGGAGAGTGCTCCTCCTTTAGTCCCTAAAATCATGTGTGTCCAACCTCTTTGGGCCACTTAACCAGACACTGAGCTCCTCATAGCAATCCTAGAAAGCCCATTTCTCTGGATTCTGATGTGAGGGTTTGGGGGCCTGTTGATAACCAGGCTGGCTTAAATCACCAGGAGGGGAGCTCCAGGCTCATCTCTACACACTCCAAGACAATGTAGAAGTCACTCGAGGGGGAAAAAAAGATCTTGCACATGGTTATGGGGAGCTGACATGCTGAATATAAACAAACAATATTGGCCTCTCCCTCTCTGGTTATAACTGTGGCTTCACTGAGTGGATAAGTGAAGGATTTGGATCGATTTCTGCATAGCAGTTCAATTAGTAGAAATCTGGAGACTGTGCCCTTTTTAGCTGCTGGTGACTGCTTTATAGATTCATTCAACCCAGGGAGTAAAATTATTAGTAGAGATTGGGCTTAATTTGAAAATTGTTTATTAGGGTGAGTGAATAGCTTCAAAATAATTTCCACTGCAAAATCCAATTAATTTTCAGGTATGTGTGCTTGCTCCTGCCACCCACTGAGGCAATTAAGAAGTGGGGGAAAGCAGAGGGGATTTTTAAGCTAACCATACTACCTGTGTATTAATTTCTTCTTGGTAACTGAGAACAAGAACTGTCCTGTCATACTGACCCCTTAAAAATGTTACATCAGGGGCCTGCAATGCATTAAAAGACCCAAATAGAGGGATCTGCAGAAACTGCAGGGCTCGGGATGTCTGTGAACAGAGCTCCCACTGTATTTGCTGGAGGGTAAAAGAGAATCCAGCCCAAGTGCTTAATGGGTGTATGAGGTTTTAAGGAGCTGGGGATGCCTGGGAAATGTATTCACTACACCTACACAAAGGATGCCCAGTGGAAATTAATTCCTTCTCGTTCTGCATCTCTTCTAGGGCTTACCAGGATCTCCAGGACAACCTGGGCCAAAAGGATCCAAAGGAGACCGAGGAGAGAGAGTAAGGTTTTACATACACAGAGAGGTTCCCAGCAACACCTGGGGTGATGCCTCAGCAATCACAGACAGCACAGGTCTTTAAAATCTGCTGGGACTACAGCCACAAACAGTTTTAAATGCAGATTTTCTAGGTCTTCTGCAAGAATCAAAACAAGGGTTTGCTGCACAGATAAAGAGTCAAATTGCTTACAAATTCAGGTGTTCTCTAAACAGACTCAGGTAGCAAATATATGGTGTGTAAGAGCCTGTAGAAACCAACTTTCTTCTGCCAGCCAAAGCTCGTTACTGTGAAGTGTTTTTAGTGATCTGACTGAATTACCCCTTCTGTGGCACTAAAGGCTTTAAAAACTCATCAGACTTTTCCTCAATCGAAGTCATTCCCCAGGTCAAATGATGTCCTTAACATATTTGGATTATTACAGTAATGTTCTTAATATGTTTATGTGCTATACCTCAGTCCTTGATGGGCTGTCAAGTGCTGATAACTAAACATAGGAAAAAAAGGGCTGTTTGAATGTTATTTCCAAACTCATGAAGTTTAGGAAGTACCAGAGAAATATCTAACAAGGATATAAATGTATCAGGTTGCCAGTCCAGCATTCAAGCACTGGGAAGGGTTTCAAAGTGGCATTTGGGCAATTAGGTCTGCAAAATGTAGAAGTGGGCACAGAGGGACTGTGGAGGCTCACTCAGACCCCAGTGTGGGGCAGAGTCAAAGGAGGGAAGACAGACAAGGAGAAAAAACGTGGTTGGTACCTCTAAAATGATGGATGTCTGCAGTGTGGCTGCACTGACACAGCCTCGTGCCACAGCTGCAGGAAACAAAGTTGGCTTTTCTTCCAAGTGCCACTTTTGCTGTCCCACAGTTGGAAGTGGAGTGGCTGTAGGTGACATGAGTCCCTCATATGGCAGCATCTCCAGTTCTGCTCACTCTTCCAGTCCAACAGACAGAGGGATGCCTGAAAGAGCTAAGACAGACAAATGCAAATTGGATGACTTCCCAAATCCATGGGAATAACCAGCAACAGACCAGTGATGTTCCTCTGTCCTGGTGGGTGCAAGGGGAGCAGGTCCAAGGCCAGGTTTCACCCCTCCTGAGGCCCTTCCCATCAAGGGGCAGTAGATTCCAAGGGTGGAGCTCATAGGACTATTAAAAGCTCTGTTTTATTTTAGTTTGGGGTGCTTGGTCCTGTTCTTGTGTAAGAAATCACTTGCAGTTCCCTGAAAGACAATTTAAAGTGGTTGTTGGCAGTAATGTTTTTGTAACAGTTTCCTTGTGCAGATCAGCCCATTTGGGCAGGTCTTGGCTTTACTAATAGATTGCAGACTGATGTAATTCTGGGACTAGAATTTAAGGTTCTGATAGGGAGCAAAACCTTAACTGGTGAGACTGCAGCACAGGTTACCAATTACAGCTCAATATTAATTTTCAGTTAAAAAAAATAAAATTAAAGGGCGTGGAATATGGCAAAGTGTCATGTTTCCATACAGGAAACTGATAGCAGCTCTTCCTCAATGATTCATTTAAGATTTTGCTTTAGTTTGGGTTTGCCATATTATTAAGACTCTGCTTATTTTGTAACAAAAGCTTCTTGCACTGTGTCCATTCAGGGCAGACAAATCCTTTAGGCTTTGGTTTTGTTCCCTCCTTGTTAGGAATTCAGAATTGTAACTCTCCCTCTAGGTTTGGGACAAAAGAGATTTTTCAAATATCAAACTGTGTTGATAAATAGAAAAAATAAATTGTATTTCCTGCCTGTCCTCTGTTAGCATGGAAAGGGAAGCTGAACAGCTTTTTGTGTCAGAATTTCTGTAGGATGCTCTGTGTGCTTTTTTGTCTTGTGTGAGTGTGGCTTTGAATGCTGGTTTTGACAACTTACATGCTGCAATTTTGGGTTTGGTGGATACAAATTAGGGCTGGAGCAGAGGAGTTGTGCAGCTGCAAAGAAAAGCAGAGGAGGGTTTACAATATCTATTGAGAGTTGAGAAAATGTTATTATACATTCCTCCTGCTTAATCTCGGAGAGAATAGATGTGGAAGAGACCTGAAGCAGTCAGAGCACATCCCCTGGATGGCACTTCCCTGTGTGCTGCCCACAATCAGCCTCTGCTCATCCTACACAGTGCCAGGGAGGGCTGCTCCACATCAGTTCCAGGCAGAGGAGCAGCTACTGAGGGCCTGGGATAAAAGATATTTCCAACATCCAGCCTAAATATCCTTTGATCCCCTTTAAGCTGATAACATCCTTTCTGTCCCTCCTGGACATGGAGCACAGCCTGTTTATGTATTTTCAGGGTGTTGTTATGCTCCTCTCTGTGATTTTTTCCTCTTGTCTGTGCTTTTCACAAGCCTTACTCATTCCAGGGCAGAATCCAAGTATTTCCCTTTAGCACCTGGCAGAGTGGGCCTTCTTCCCACAGCTCTCCCTGTCCATAGGGGCCTTTGCCTGGTGCTGGCCCAGCACTCCATAGGAGCACAGCTCTCCATGGGAATGTTTGGGAGATGCCCCAGGCCCACTGGTTTTATACAAAGCAGCAGTTTGATGGACTCAAAACCAGCAACTCTCCCTTTCTGGCAAATGCTACAAAAATCTGCCACCAGATAGGTAATTTTTTTGGGGGAAAAAAGGGTGGGTTTGTTGCTGTGTATGTCTGGGGGGGAGAAGAGTCAGGGGAAATATGTGGCTGTTTCATTAATGGATTTCTATTGATGCTTTTATGTTTTGCCTCTTCTTCCCAAGCTCCTGCTTTCTCCCTAAATAATCTGTAACTGCTCTCCTGACCAGGGATTCTGCCCAGAGTGGGAAACCAGCACTGTGGAGGAAAACAGGGGGGAAAAAGGATGCTCAGTTCAATGACATTTCATTCTGCCCCAAACCAACACATACCTAGTTCAGACTGTTTCTATTAAAAAAAAAAAAAAAAGAACAAAAAACCCCCACTGAGAACAATGTGAAAATTAGCACAGCAGGAAAAAGAAACAAACCAACCAAAATCCAAAATATTGTACCTGTGTTTTGATCAGTAGCTGTCGGGGTTGGAGCAGGAGCAGATTAAAGCAGTGCTCGGTGGGAGCCCTGGGCTCTGTGTGCTGCCTGGGCCAGCAGAGGCCCATCAGTTTTACTAGAGAGAAGAATGTGGTGTCTTTGTAAGGAGCAAATCTGCAGCCAGATTCCTTCCTGGTATAATGTAACTGACTGCTGGAAAGTTCAAAAACCTGCTAATCGTCTTACAGGGAGGGCACTGAGCTGAGCAGCTCCACATCCAACCCAACCCCTCCAAAGCCTGATGGGATTTGGAGCTGATCCTTGACAGGAAACTATAACCCCCTTTTGCTGTCTCAAAGTGATAATGTCAAGGGAGAGGAATTTTTTCCCCATATTATCCCAAGTGTAAGGTTTTTCATTAAGCCATCTTAATTCCACTAGTGAAAATTACTCTGTGTTCTTGTCAAATGGCAAAGTATGTCCTAATGACACTGACTTTATTTCCAACAGGGGCAAGCAGGTCTGCCTGGAGAGAGGGGCATTAAGGGATCTCCTGTAAGTGATGCACTTGTGGGTGGGTGCAAGGCTCAGGTGGGGTTGGTGGCACTGTAAGTGCCACTGTGGCTGGTTCAGCCAGCTCTCACACACACTCAGGTCAGCTGTCCCCAGCTCAGACATTTGTTCAATAGACAACCTCACCTTAATGAATTCCTCTGCAAATGAAACATAATCCTCCTGAGTGTAAAAATGCCACAGTCAGGAAAGCATCACACCAGCAGAGGAGATTGCTTTGCCTGAAGGTCTTCTCTGGCCAAACCTGAGCAGACAGAAGCTCTCCCAGGCCCAGGAGGTTCCTGCCACTACCAGAGCCCAAAGGTGGGCACAGTTAAACAGCTCGAAGTACATCAGCTGCTCTCAATTCCCTCTTGCACCTTGGTTTGCCAAGCTGAGCTGGAAACCCTTTAATAACATTAAGAGATGGCCCCACAAATGATTTTTTTGGCTGTACCTGAACAGATGCACAAAGGGGATGTCTGCACATATGGTTCAGTGCAAACAAAGCAGTGGCAGTGAAGAGCTAGTGGAGTTGGGGTTTTTTGGCTGGCAGCATCCAGAGAGGTCCTAGGGCCACTGGGAGGTTTCTCATCTCTCTTCTTGAGTTCCACACCTCATTTCATACAATTCACACAACCTTTTCTTCAGTCCTTCCTCTCATTCTCACCCCTGCTTTGCAACTATCTCAGGGATGTCCAACAGGCTTGAGGAGCTCGGGCATTTCCACTCTGTCTTATTCACTGGTTTATTAGTCTTTTTTTATGTTTAGCTTGTGGTTTAATCTCTCCATGTCATCTGTTCTTTGGGAAGTGTCTGAACGTCCTGGTTGGGTGGGACACAGGACTAATATTCACAGTGGAGGGATCTTTGCTCAAGAAAAGCTTAATGAGCATCTTCAGAGGCAGAAAGTGATGTGACTAATTAATGGCAGCAGGATGGAGGATTTTTGACTTCTAAATCAAAGATGAACACATGCCTGTTTGGGGGAAAGAGTCATTTATCTGTGGTTTAGCCCAAAGTGTTGCTCATGAGAGCTCCATGAGATGTACAAGGCCTTGTTGGGGCCCAGGCCATGGCAGAAGGGCCCCTTGGCCACTGCTGGGCAAGTTTATCCCTGTTAGAAATGGTGGTGACCTCTGAGAAGCTCCAGGGCAAAGCTCAGGAGAGCACTTTGGCCGCTGGCATGAAGTGCCAGTCAGTTTATTTTCTGCTGGTGAAATGCTTCTGCTCCTTTGGTGGGAAAGGATCCAAGTGATCCTGGACAGAGTTCACAGCCACATGTAAACAAGTTTCTGTTTCTTGTTTGTTTTAGGGTGAACCAGGCAAGAAGGGTGAGGAAGGTGACAAAGGTGCTGATGTAAGTGTGTGTTTCTACTGGTTTATTTTCCTTTTTGTCTCCTTAATGTCCTTCAACCATATTCCCTTTCTGTGGGTTTGTGGGGGCAAGGTGACCCAGTTAAAAGTGCAGAGCAAGTGGTGACATGAACCTTGGGTTTGAACTTATTACCTGCCAGAAATGCTGGTCTGTGGGGTTTCCTTGGCCATGTTGTCACCATGTTCTCTGAACACCTCAGTCCCCACCAGCAGTTCTGTCACATGGAGCTGCTACAAGGTAGGGAATTCTCCCTCAGTGTCCCTCCCACATACTGAGGGACATGATCTATTCTCTCCCAGAAGAGATCAAACTGCGTGTACAGAGCACTGGAGTTCTCACATCTCTGCTCTCTTGCCCTAAAATACTTCCCAACATCTCTCTGTCATAACTAAGGCAACAAAGGGAATAAAATACAGCTACAGCCTGAATGTACGTGGAAGTATGTGGGCAGGTTTCAGGCAGCACATGGCCCAGCCAGGAGCTCTTTGAAGAAGGTCTGAAGTCCACCAGGGTGGGCTCACATGGCACTTTTCCAGTTTATAAGGGAGCAACAAGATGGGGCCAGGCACATGTCCCAGTTTCCTGCTGTAACAACCAAGAGAAAGCCCAGGTAACTCAGTGATGTTCAAAGGAAATGTCAGGCAAGAGACAAACCTGTTTTCCAGGTGGTTCAGCAGAGTTGTTAACACAAGTTGCACAGCCTAAAGGTTTGACAGGAACATCCACCCTGGGTTTGGCCCATGGTAGAAGAAGAAACCAAACTGAAAGGCACAGCTTTGGGTCAGGGCTCTGCAAGCATGGGGTATGACTGAGGAGGTGTTCTTCAAACAGGGATTTCTCTTGCATCCCTACTCAACCCTTGTAGGTCATGTCCTTTTTCACATCTTTTCATTTTTAAACATCCACACTGCCTAGTTTGGTGCTCTGGAAGCAACACTATGAACAAGAAGCCTCTTCTGCAACATCCTCCAGTGTTGGTTTTGTTTTCCTTTCTTGCAGGGGGAAGGTGTTCAGCAGCTCCGAGAGGCTCTGAAGATTTTAGCTGAGAGGGTATTAATTCTTGAGCACATGATAGGAATTCATGGTAAGCGTCGCTGAGGTTTCTTTTTCTAGAGAACCAGGGGCTCTGTTGATGATTAAACATCCTCCCAATCTCCTGAGCTCTCTGTCTGGTGTCTGTTCAAGCCAGGGTTTCAAACCTAGGTACCCATCAGGACTTACAGGATGCAGTTGAGGACCTAGAGCTTCCACCAGCTGCTCTCTCTGGCTTTACAGTAGCAGGTGAAATGACCCTTACAGTGATTTTTTTTACAATTCAGACAGCCAAGTCACGAGCAGCAGCTCAAGCCATGTGGCACAGATCACCTACCAGCTTCCCAGGGAGCTGCTTGTTCAGGTCTTTAGGCCAGATCATTTAATCCTGTTAACAGCATCTTCCAAGTGACTTGAACACCAGTGAGCCTTGTGCAGCTCTGCACTTTGCAGAGAAAGCCCAAGCAGTGCTGCCATGTCACCCTGAGAATCAGTGATCTCTGAATGTTTTGTGATTGTAACTTATATAAAACCTATTTTCACAATCAGATTTAAAGGAAGTCCCACATGTTCTACACTCAGATTTTTAAAATGATCTATTGAGGTTTATATTTGCTCTCCCATCACTGGTACAGTGTGTAACATCATTTCTCAGTGTTTTCTTCCCTTAACCACAGTTTGGTCTTGGTGATTGGCACAGATCAGACTTTTCCTCTTGGGGTACCTGAGGATCAGTTCTCTCACAGCTTCCACAAGCTGCTGTGTCAGTTTTTCCCCTTTCAGGAACCCAGTAGAAGTGAAATGTAGTTTGGATCTGCTGTCCCAGCCTGTGAGGAACAAGGCTGTTCCTTGGCACTGACCCAGTCCCAGAGCACTTCTCTGTCTCACACTCTCCTTGGCACCTCATTCCTGGCCTTGCTTGTAAATTGAGCTGCTCACACCTCCCTTCAGATCAACACCCCCTTTTATTGGGAAGTGGCCTTTGGATATTGGTTCAGCCTATGGAAATGCTAAATAGCCAAAATGTCCAGCAGTTCTGCCCTACTGCACAGGAATAGGTGACCTTTAGGCAGCACCTCGAGGGCCCACAAGCCCCTTCTGGAGCCAGCAGTGCTGAGATGGAATTCTGCTGGACACTTCAAGGCCCACACAGTGTCTGGGCAGTGTTTTGTTGCATGGCTGGACTGGCCCTGCCCTGCCCTGTTCAGTGGCCTCGTGGCTCTCAGAGGCCCCAGGTGCCGTTTCCAAAAGCAATGGGCAGACACAGCACAAGCTTTTTGGAAACCATGAATCACAAGCCCATGATTTAACCACACTCACCCTGACCTTACCTCTGCATCAATCCTGCTTTGCTTCACATTTTCATTGCATTTTATACACCAAGGCTGGGAAAATATATTTTGATGCTGCTTTGCTTTGAGCTGGTGGAGGGACCTGGGAGATGCCCACTAGATTTCCTGGGCAGCAATCCATGTTCTCCAGGGAAGAGGGGAAAGGAAGCCAGTCCATAAGCACAGTGCAGGGTGTTTACAGGATCCAGGGCCTGGCTTTGACTTTGGACCTTCATTTATAGCAGTATAAAGCAAAAATTCAGCTCTTGGGAAGCCTGTGTAGACACAGGGGCTGGGACTGGGGGTTCACACGGCCCTGCCCCTGCAGAACTGCCTGGTTTACCTATTTTGTTACATTCTGTGTGGAAGTACAGCAGCAAACAAGGCATGTGCTGCTGTTGTTTTGAAACAGTCATTTCAGCAACTCGTTTTTATTGATATAAATATAGTTGCTGTTACTGCTTGGGATGGAGATGAGTTATTAAACCCATGTGTACTGCTATACCAGTGTAACTGCATCAGCAAGAAGGGATGTTTTTTAATTGTACACTTCAGTTAAGGTCATAGTTAAACACCTATATTGTATGACTTCAGTTTCTTTTTGTCCAATAACTATAGATAATTACATTCTTACTCTTTTGAAATAGTTTCATTCTTTAAGTTAACACGTATCTTAGCCCTACAAAAATACTGTTTAGAAAGGGAACTTGGAAAGTAAGGCATTTTCCCTTGTGCAAATATGTTCATCTTATGTATATGGTTAAGTAACCCCAAAAAACAAAGAGAAAAAGACATAAAATAACAAAAAATAATTACCTTGAGCACAGACCTCCCTGCACTGGAAGGCACCACAGAGGTTTCAGTCACCCAGCACCAACTATCTGGTTGTGTTCCCGCTGTAGGTGTGAAGGATTTGACCACAGGTCCTGGCCCAGCTCAGCCCAGCCCTAAAGCCCCACGCAGAAATGCCAATCCCATGCTCTCATTTTCCCAAGAACCTTCCCACTGAGCGTGGTTTCCAAAACCACAACCGAAGCAACAAGGCAAAACACACCAGCAAACAAACCCCTTCCCTGCAGGGGGAGGGCAGTTTGAGATGATCTGGCCTAGCAAAGCTGCAGAGCAGCCCAGCAGGACACAAGAAGGCCCAAATTGTCTGGCAGGGTTTGGTGCCAGCAGACAGGACACAAACCCTCCAGCAGCCAAAGGCTCCCTGGAAACAGAAATGCTGCCTTGTGGGATCAAACTAAGCCTGGGTGTCTGGCTGGGAAATTGGGCTCTTGGCAGGGAAACACAGAGACATGCAGCTCTGAAGGCAAAAGCAAGAAATTGGGGCATTAGAAACGGTGAGGCAGCATCGAGCCATCAGCATCTGCTGCTGAAGAGTGGCCTGGTCTGGTGGATATTTAGCTTTGTTTAGCTGAAGTAAGAGCAGGGTGGTGTTACCTGGAGGCATTGCAGGAGAAGGGACAGCTGACATCTATTCCCAGCTTTATTGCTAATTTGGCTGCAGCCCTAAGGTGGATCAATCCTTTTGTTCAATCATTTCAGGGCCTCAAAACATCCTCCTTTTTACAAGGAGTGAAATGGTCCTTAAACCCCCAGAAGCATCACTTCCCAGTGACCACCTGGCCTCATCCTCCAGCACAGGACCTGTGGGCAGTGCTGAGTAGCTGTGAAAGCCCAACTAAAATTATAATCAGTGAAAGAACAGAGTTTTAGAAATGAAACTACACATGAGAACAAGGCCTGCTGGGCCACGTGCAGGATGAGCACTGACCCCAGGCAGAGCAGAGAGAAAATATCTACTCCAGGAGTAGTGTGATGGCAGCAAACTGTAGCCCCACAATTGCTTCCTGGCTGGAAAGACAGCAGGAGGGACCCCAGTGCTTCCAGAGGAGGTATCTCCCAGAAGGGCCCCTGCCTGTGTTCCGTAGCCTCCCCTGTTAAATAGTGCTCTCCCGTGACTTTCTCTCCTTACAGACTCTTTGTCTTCCATTGAGCCAGGCTCTGGACAGGATGTGATCCCGGGCTCCCCCCTGAGAACCAGCATCAAGATCAAGCGTGGAGGCCCCCGGCAGCCCCAGCCCTACCAGATCCTCTCCTCGCTGCTGGAGGACGGAGAAGCCAAGAGGAGAAGCAACCGGATGAAGTAGGAGCGGCCGTGTTCTCCCTGCCGGTCTCCAGTTCCAGATACAGTATCCCAGTGCTCATTGCAGACTGCAGAGGGAGGGGGTAGGAGGCTGCAGTGTTGGCAGCTGGGTTTCCTTACCTGGCTAATGCTGTGCCCTTATTGCAGGGAATGTCTTATCCATAGCTCAGAGAGGGTTTTCCTTGACTTTGTTGTTTTGCCTTTGGAATACCAGCTGGCAGGTATCTCAGAAGCTGCCTACAGCAATGACACCTCCTGGCTGTGTCTCAAGAGTTTAATCCTCCCCTTCTTTCCTCACTGCCCTTGACAGTGACTCAGTAAAGCTCTGCTTAACTGGCCAAGACAATCCATCCCACCCAGACTCAAAGCCAAGCCTCAGCCTTGTTCCTTGATGTAGTTGGAGGCATCTGCTTTTATTTCATGTGTTGGTACTGGCTTCCAGGTGGAGGTACCACCTCCACAGGCCATGAAAGCATGACCTGCAAGGATGTCTTTTAAGCAAAGAAACAAATTAGAAAATCCAAAGAACATTTAAAAGTGTTTCTCTGAAATGTCAGGTGCCTCTCTGGACTTTAGCATCAAAATCTTGGCTTTTCATGTTGCCAATTGCACCTGAGTGACATTATTTCTGTTTGTGGCTGGCTAAGCAAGGACTTTTGATGCAAATGTTCGTGGCAACATTGACTTTCTATCTATCTTCAGTGAAATTACACTGTTTCTGTGAAAATACAGAGCAGTTTGCATGAGATATGATGGAATTGTGCAAGAATTTTCCCATACTGTGTTCAGCTTGTGCATACATCCAGAGATAATTAATTTAAGTGGTGGCAATAACTATTCACAGAAAAGGATATTTTGCAATTGTTTCTTAATCCTACAGCAATAAGGAAAAATGTTTTCACAGTGTTTTGTTTTAATCTTGTGAGTAAATCCTTGCCATTTGAATCTGGAGACAGTGTAGTAGCAAACCACAGCCTAAACAATTAGTGTCTTGTCAAGAGCTTATCTTGCACTGGATAAACAGAGAGTCATTTTACTTTTTGCAATAACTTGTTATTTTAGGGGAAGTACCAGCTTCCAGGTTTAAGGAGTTGAACCTGCCCTTCAGTGACAAATGAATCACTCCACCTGCTGTGCTAACCAGGTTGGACAAGCTGAAGTCATTTATGTAGACAGTGAGTTTTGTTAGAAGGGTGAGATTAACCAACAGAACTGATGGTTACTGTTTTTTAATTTTTACTTCCCCTCTTCTGACAGTTTGCAAATTCAGCCCAGGACAAAAGTGATCAAGTTGAGTTTGTGTTTGTCATAAGTCAGGTCCATTGGTCCCATTGTATCTGGTTCCTGTGCAAGACAGTTTGTCTGAACAAGGTGAGCTGTCCTGCTGCAGAATGTCTGTCAGAAGGTGCTGCAAAGACCAACACTGTCCATTTATTCAGCAGCCCAAGTGATCTTCCCAAGGCCAAGCCAGAAGCCTGTGGTTCACTGGAAATGAGGCTAAAAATGAGGAGCTCAGCCAGCCCAACATTAGCCACACATTAAATTGACTTTCCATATACACTGTGAACATGATGTACCCACAGAGATATCCAAGCCAAAACTTTCCTCTGAAGAACCTGAGCAGGTCTTCAGGATTGCTGAATTCACTGTATGTCTTCCCTTGGCCCTGCTCTTTGGAAATCCAGCCAGAGATCCCAAACCAGGTGAAACAGCTTAAATTAATGCTGAGAAAGCACCAGAAAGATGTCTTTTACTTCTGGAACTAAGTAACAAACAGCAGTGGTTTAGGCTGGCTTGGAGGCAGCAGGAATTCATGCCCTTGCCCTGCTTTTGCATCTTCCCTGTGCTTGGCCAGTGCCAGTGGTGGGGTTCATTCAGCTGCCAGCCCACCTGGGTCAGCTTGTGCTGCTGATCAAGTTTTCCAGGGGACATTTCAAAGAAACAAACCCAGAGTGTTGCAAAAGCTTGGAGAGTTCCTTGCCTGCACTCTGAGTTACAGCTGGAGCATGATATGGTCAGAGGACAAGAAAACAAGTAAAACTGCCCAAGTTAAGCAGGTACTGACCTCCAGCAGTCCTTTTGGGATAATGAAATAAAGTCTCTTTGGAAGCATCTCAGTTTCAAATCCAGCAGTAACCCTAAATCCAGTGTAACTCTAAGTTCAGGATGTTTATGGTGCTGTACAGAGCCCATGTCCCGGCATCCACTACTGGGAGGGCAGTGGCTCTTTTGGTGGGCAGCTGAGCCTGGTGCAGCCACTGGAACTTATTATTCTTGGAATAATCTTTCCATTTAATAATTAAATGTGCCCAAAAAAAGATGTTTCCCCATTTACAGGCAGATCACTGTGTAGGAATTGGGAAGTACTTGGTTACCTCTTTGTTGAATCAGGACCATCTTGGTTGTGGATCACATGGACGCTCCAGGACATCACTTGGGGCTTCCAGGAGATAACTCCTTGTGCCAACATGTTGGTGTTGGAAAATCAGGCCTGGAGACTGAGGAGAAATCTCAGTTCACTCTAAACTTGTACCCTGGGCAGACTGGTGCCAGCTATAGTTGATGCCACATTAACAACGTGCCCTCACAGCAGTTTCAGGAACCAAACCAAAGCAAAGCAATCTTTAAAAAGGGAAATGGTGAAACTCAGTTTCACTGGTCCTGTAGGTACAGGGCTGAGTTTGGGGAAGGGGGAACACAAGGAGGCCATTTTCACTTCCCTGACGTTTTGGAGGCTTCCCACTGAAGTGAAAGAGAAATCTTTCTCCCTCTGAGTTTGTCTTCTGAACTCAAAGCTGTTTCATGAGCTTGGTGGGTGCTGAGGCTTTAGTCACTCCTATTGCTGAGGCATTCATATTGATGAGGGGGTTGGATTTTATACTCTTTAAAACAAATTACTGGTAAGATGAAAGGAAAATTTAATGGAAGTTGTTTGCAATTAATCCTGCCAAGTCAATTGTCAAAAGGCTGGTTAAGTTTGGGTTGAGAGCATTTTAATTACTGACGTTTCCAGATTTCTGCATGAGCTCTGTAATTTTTTCTCCCCATACTTTTTGCTTTCTTTAGCTCCATCTCTCTGATGAGGTACTGTATCTTTAATTGGGGGGCAGTAGGATTATACCAAATGGACTTTCTCTCTCCACTGGGGTTTCGTTCCTCTCTACTTACACAAGGATTGGATCACACTGTTGTGCCACCCCATTTAATTATGTTTTAAAGGTGAACACAGCCTCACACACTGACATTAATGATATTGATGACTAAGCAAACCACTCCAACCACATTTTCCATCATAGGCAGGATACTGAGGTTCATTTCAGCCAGGGCATATAAATGCTTCTTGCCATGTCTATGTAACTTAGAAAGGGGATTTATCTTGAATGCGTGCTCATTTAGAAATATATTTTAATTGAAATGTTTAGTGCTTTATCTTACATACATACTGTGCAATACCATAGTGTGTTCTTTCCCTTTTTTATTTTTTTTCCTAAGACTTTTTTTTTTAAATTCTTAATGTTTGTTTGAGCTCCAGTGTGTTTTTGACTTGGATCAATTCCTTGCCCTCAGCTAACCAGAAGCAGAAACATTGCACAACCAAAAACTCTTTGCAACTCGTGCACCCTCGTGTTCACCAGCAGCCTGGTACCCTGGGAGGCAGGGAATGCTTCTCTCCAGAGTATCTCATTTGCACTTACTGTAAGGAATTGATAGTAACCCAGGGAAATAGGAATAAAATAGAGAGGAGAGCCCTCACTGCTCCCACCAAACTCCTCAGGCATTTTGCCATCACCTTTCAGAGAACAGGCCTTAAAAACCAGATGCTGGTGAGGTTTGGTGGGGCAGAGCTTGTGGCTCCCCAGAGGCTCTCTGGGCTGGGCTCACTGCCATGAGCTGTTGTAATGTAGGACCCTGAGCACTGTGACAAAGGCTTCCAAAAGACAATCAGCTTCTGGAATTACTTCTCAATACAGTTGTTGCAAATCCATCCTCCTCCACATTTACAGCTGCTGCCTTGCTCGAGATGACATTCCACTGGGGGTTTGGGGGTGTAGGGGGTTAAACTACTCAGTCTGTGATGTCTTGGTTCCCTGTGAAACCAAGGGTTCAAAGGTGCTATAACTGTTCACAAGGCACATTCCCATCCACAGAAGGAAATGGTAACTTTTTCACCAGTTATTTTACATGGTATCTTTTTTATTTATATCAGTGTGTTTCGTATGTGTGCAAATGGTCCTGGCTTCTCTCATGGGGATCAGCTTTACAACCATTTGGTCTTTTATAGGGCAGCCATACACAGTATCTTGCAATCATGTGTAATTTCTTAACTTAGAGCAAGAATAAATCTCGTCTGACAGGATGAACTCATTTATGGCAGGCTTTAATGTTTGTTGTAAACACAACCTGTTTGTTCCACCTCTTGCATGGTTACTTATCTGTTTTCATATTGCTATGTTATTGTTCAAAATATCTATTTCTCTTTATTTGCTATGGGGTTTGTTACTGTATATGGAATGTTTTGTATTCAGCATTTTCTTTCGGAGCAGAGTGGGAACAGTATTCAAGGACCCACAAATACCAAAGACCTTTCATGTAATGCACTGAGAAATAAACTTACTGTAAATGAATATCTTGTCAGGTGTCCTCTATTTGCAAAGTTCAGGGCAAGTTCAAGCAAATTGCAGCCTGAAGTCAGGGCAGCTGGTTTTCCTTCCTGCCAGCTCAGCTTTCCCTGGTTGTATATTTGCAGGTCTCCTAAAAAACAAGATGTGCATGAAGGCCCTGCTTCTGGTCACCTTCCATGGGGGTGGAGGGGCAAAAAGGGCCCAGTTTCCCTGCCCTCAGTGGGACTGACTCCTCTGAAGGTGTCTGAGATCAGCCTCCAGGACACACTCAGTCACCCCTCTGCATTCCCAGCCCCACCAGCCAAACACAGGGGCACATCCCACCCTCCTGGGGAGGTGTTCAGCTCCTAAACTAAAGGCAGCCCAGGTGAGCCTTCGGGTAATGTCACCTCTGAGCATCTTCTTTGCACTGCAGAGCGAGGCACTACCTGGACCTGGCAGATGCTTCCTGCAGGGACAGCCCTCGTGTTCCTGCAGGAGTTTTCTGTCAGTACAGATCCAGGATCACAGCTCTGCCTTGGCTCAGAGAGGGCACTCAGAGGGCAGGTAGTGCAGCAGAGGAACAAGGCAGAGAGGGAATTCTGCAGTGCTTACCAGCATGAATTAAACCCTGTTGTTATTTGTAACTTGCCATGAGTTTCCTCACAGTTCAAGGAGTTGAGTTGGCTCAGCTAAGACAGCAAGGGCTGCCTGGGCCCCCTCCCTGAATTCCCCTGGTACCTCCAGGTGTTTCCCTCCTCCTTTGAGTGTTCTCTGAATGTGCCTCTGGGCTCATGGAGACCCCTGGAGTCATCTCCTATGACAATTCAAACTATCAGAGGAGGACATGGGTGGGGACCTGTTTAACCTTCCTACACTGGGAACAACTTCCCATTTGGATGCAACACCCCTCTGTTTGCAAAGGGAGGCTCTCCTCTCTGTAGGAGAGGACCTGGGCTGCTTCTTCACAGATGTGCCAGTTCTGGTTTCTGAACTTGTTTTTCATATCCTAACAAAAACAGGAGATATGGAAATGCCAGCCAGTTTTTCCCCCACTGATCAGATTACACTCAGATATGCAGATACCAATGGTGCAGCAAAGGCTAAGCCTTGTAAACACTGAGAAATGTCCACAGAGCCAAGGCCTCAGCTTCACACAGCTCTTTGCATCGCTGATGAGGACATCCTCAAGGTTACTCGATGCCAAACATTCCCATGCAGCACTTCTCTGGGTCTCTCAGGGTGTATTTATCTTGGTTTTTGAGTCCTAACACCTCCAACTCCGATATATTTATCCTTGCAAAAAGTCCTCTGAGGGAAGGCAGTTCTGTTAATCACCACTGTACAGATTGGGAGTTGCTGGATAAAAGGCTAAATTAATTTCTTGGGACATTTGTGGCTGTGCTGGTCTGCCAGGCACCAAATTAGCATCAGGCCCATGTTGGTCTCTGGGCCATTATGGCCACTGATTGTAATCACAGCAAGGGGAACTGACTCCTCCTAACACTTAATGCAGCACAAGAAAATCAATGGCAGAGGGGAACAGACTGAACTTGCAGCAGGAGCTGATTAAAAGAAAACTATTTATTCACAAACAAAACACAGCTACTCTTTGAGTTCTCTGCCTTAACTCTTCATTAACCATGTTCTCAGCAGCAGGTTGCTCTACACCTTCCTTTTTACAGGCAGACAAGCACAAATGCCCAAGACTGGCCCCAACCATTCACACAGTTGGAATTGCTGCCACATTTCAGCCTGGGGGTGGGGAAATCAGTGAGCCTGAAACCAGAACAAACTCAACTTAAACTTCCCAAGCAACCGTATGGCCAGAAAAGCAACTTTAGACTACACTGTATAAAGGAAAATAATCAGGGAGATTATATTTCCCTATTTACCAGTGTTACCTCTCTAAGAACAGTTCACCAAAAATGGTGACAAGCTGGTTCAAATATGGATTGAAAAAAAATTGACTGCTCCAGACTTAAGGACAGTTTGCTTGGCATCCAAGAGAGCCTGGGACTGCTCAGGCCTGACTTTGTTGTCTCTGAGCCTCTTCATGGGAGAAACAGAGAGAACAGGACAGGTCTTCCACTCCACATCCCACTCTTAGGACAGGGTCAAACACCCTTGGATAAAGCTGATCTGATTTTTTTGATCCAATGGCAAACTAAACAAGACACCTTCTCTGTGACTGGGCAACTAAAGGTGTATCAGCCACGGCTGGCAGGGAAAGCACAGCAGGGCCCTCTTTTACTGATGATGAGAAGGAACTTTTCTAACAAAGGATATAGCACAGCTTTTACTGCTAGACAGTTTTCACATGAAGACTTTCCCCTCCTAAATATACATGAGAGTGTGTGTATTCCAGCTGAGAGCAGCATCCATCCAGGAGAGCCACACCAGATCCTCAGACTGGGAGAACCAGTGACCACAAAGCCTCTGGCCCTGCCTGTGCTGTGCATGACCCAGCTCAGCACTGGAGGGGTCTGTGCTCTGCAGCCTCTCCACAGATCACCAGTGCCTGGAGACGAGGTCTTTGGACCTCCACACTGACAAGTGGCTGCCCTGAGCACCCCTCCAGCACACACAGCCTTTGTGCAGCTCCCAGAGGCCACAGCTGTCAGAGCAGCCTGTGGGAAAGGGCTGTCCAGGGTGGAAAACTTCTGCCATCCAGATTTTGGCCTGAGACTGGCCACATACCAAGGCAATCCAGAGCTGCCCTGCTGATCATGGGCTACTGTGGGAGAAAGGAAAGGCTGAGTCAGAGGGCCCAGGATGGGCCTGTGGCAAATCTGTGGGACTGCACCAAGGAAAACCTGATTTATGTGTAACTGGATGGAGTTAATGTTCAGCCAGCACCGTTCTATGACAGCTAAACTTTAGACTTAGTTCAGAAAACACACTGGCTGAGAGCTCAGCAGAGCACAGAAGGAACCTGGCAGCCACCTTCAACCTCAGAACCATCTTCAGAAATGGATGGGGCCTGGGTCTACCTGGTGACAGGAGGATGTGGGTTTATTGGGGAGAAGATCGTAGAGCTCCTGTCTGAACAAGACTACATCAAAGAAGTCAGAGTTTTTGATTCAGTAGCAAAAGGAGAAGTAGAATATCTCACCACAGGTAAGAAAAGAGCATCAGCATCTATTTGGTGGCCAGAACCCTCCCTTTCATGGCAGATGGAATAATGCAGGAGATGCCACAGTTACAGGCACGGGGTTAAAGGGACTGGATAAAGAACAACTTCCAGCTCTGAAAGGTTTTTCAGCACAGGACTAAATCAAAGAAAAAAAAGATCCATAGCCTGTACCCTCCAGAGATGTCACAGGAGGATCTAAGTCCCCACACAGGGATCAGTTGTAAGGAGCAATGTGCACCCTGAGTACGTGACAGGGAAACTTGGCTGCCCAGTTGCTTCTGCTCAACCAGTCTGACTGACAGCAAAGGGACACAAAAACATCCTCCTGAACTGCTCCAACCAGTCACCAAATCTGAAAGATAAAAATCCTGACAATAATAGAAGAGAAACTCAGCATCTGCTGCAGGTATTGTGAAATAAATTATGGAAATAATTGGGAGAAACCTACAGCAGCCTTCCTGTGCATATGAAGGAAGAGGTGAGTCTCAGTAAACACTTTCAGAGATACTAAATTAATCCATTTGATCATATTCTGAGAGCTGCCTTCATCCAGGGTTGAGTACAGCGAGATACATTGGGGGAAAACAACCTGTTTTACTGGATTCAGGAACACCCAAGCAAAACAAGCCAAGGCAGCTCAGGTAATGGTGGGCTGGGTCCCCTCTGTCTGACTGCCCAGACCTTCAGCCTGCTTTGAGAGAGGCAAAAGTGATAAGGGAGGTCCCATCTGTGGGGAGATATTAATAGAAGAGACACTTAGAGCAAGTTAAGACTCCCAGGGAAATATGACTATCAGAAACCCTCCCTGGCAGATGAACTCAGCAGACTGGCTTCCCCAGGTTTCAGGGAGCCAATTGCCTTTAAAGCACCCATAATTGAAGAAAAAGCTGTTTAAACCATAGAGAGGTGCCAGAATCCAGGCTCCAGGAGTGGTCTGTGTCCTGACACCGCAGCAAACAAGGCAGGAGCAGCCTGAGGGGCCATCCCAACCCCATCCCTCTGCCCCAAGGCAGACCAGCCCTGCAGATGTTTGTCTGTCCTGTCCCCAGGCCACCTCAGGCAGCCCATTTATCTCTGCAGCACCAGGCCACCGCTGTGGTACAGCCTAATCTGCACTTGGAGTCCTTCATTTCTCATCCACCCTTAGAATAGGTGTTACACCATTACTGCAATTTTTTTAACAACAACCCCCTCCTTCCACTCCATACTGGTTTCTCCTTTTGGCTAAATGAGCATTCCCTCCTTCCTCCTCCACTCCAGCAGTACCTCAGGCACTGGTGTTGCTCCTTCCTGGAAGAGGGGCATTGAGGTTTGGGCAGAGAGATCAGTTGTGGCCTTCCCACTGCTGTGTAAAGCTGATGGATTTGTGCCTTCCATCCTGGAATACCTCCTCCTGTTTCCCCTGTCACTACAGCGATGCCTTTTTCCCACTCACAAGGACCCTGCCAACAGGCAACAGCTCCTGAGCTGCCCTGGCCCAATTTAACCCTTTCATGAAGACCTGCTGCCTCTTCCCTGCTCAGCCCAAAAACTTCTCTTTGTTCCTATCAAACTTCCCCTTTCTTTTCCAGCCTCTCTGAGTTACACGCAGCTCATTCTCTAATCCTCCAGTCCCTCCCTGTCTGATGTTATCTGCTGATTTAATGAACAAATCAACCAGATTCTTGATGAAAACAATAAAAAAAAAGACTCAAATACAGGAGAGCCCCAGGGCAGGCACCTACCACAGCTGGCAATTCCATGGGAACTGTAATTCCCCTGGCTTTGTGCTCTCCCTAATGGGGCTCATTTAGCCCTGTGTTTTCCTGACCAGAACGACACAGAGTTTCCAAAGCCCTCCTAAAATCAAGATAGATGGCATCAACCTGTTCCACAATATCCCTGCAGCCTGTTACTTTGTCATGAGAACAAAGGAGGTTTATCTGACTTGATTTGTTCTTGACAAATCCTTGTCAGCTGCTGCTGTTCTCCTTATTACCCCACAGGTGCTCACACACATGTCGTTTTAGTGTGTGCTCCTGGATTTCCTGGGGTTGAAATCAAAATATTCTGGAATTTCCTGGCTCTTCTTCACCTCCTTTCTAGGCACAGGTGTTTCATTTGCTCTACTGCAGTTTCCCAGTGCCTTCAAAAGTTCTCCAAAGTAGCTGATAATGCAACAGGGCTGCAGTTACACCCATCACCTCCTTATAGCTCTTATCAATCTGAAAATTTCTCATGGCTGCCTTACACAGCTGCCTTAAGACAGATGATGCAAAAAAGACTATTTAACACTTCAACCTGATGGGTTCCAGGTTTTCCCAAACCACAGAGCAGGAGAAAAATCCCCCCAAGAGTCTGCTGACACCCTGGTCCTCTGGGCAATTGTTTTACCCCTGCTACATGGACAACTCCTTTCTTTTCCCCCTCTATTCTCACTGAAGCAACTCTGTGCTTTAATACTGAATTATTTTTAGTATTATCATTCAATATTAATTAAGAATATTGAGTGTGAGTGAGTCCACCAAATCTTGGCTATGCCAATGAAGAAAGTGGCCTGACCCTTTTGTAGAATTCCAGCCTCCTCCTCCATCCCATGCTGCTCAGAAAACATTCAGAGCTGCTGTGTTGGATTCTGTCCCTCCCTTTAGTTCATGAGGAACAACCCTGTTCTCTTCCCCCCTTTTCCTGGTAGTTCTTCAGTGAGGGTTTCCATGTCATAACACTCCCACAGCTGCAGCCACAGACCCTTCCCTGAGCTGCTCATGTGTAGGATCCTTCAGAAATCCCTGCCCTGATCCCGGGATACACTGGGCTCTCCAGACAGCCCAGGGCAGAGGAGACTTCTCCTTCCCAAAGCAATCCTGTGACTGCATTATTGCCAATCCCCAAGGAGTATGGCCTCCTAACCCCAGCTCCTTGCTGGCCTGTTCCCAACTACACGAAAGGAAAAAGGGAAAAATCCTACTCAAACATTGCAACACTGTCTCAAAGCAAGAAAATTAGTAGTAGATGCCAAGAGTAGCTATGTATGGAAAGCTATGTCGAGGAAGAAGGAGGGGGAGAAAGGAGATAGGGGGAAAATTCCTTCTGAGTGGCTCAAAGAGAGGAATTTCCTATGAAACTTTTAATACCTGTTACGTTATTTTCCCCTCCCATCTACAGTGTTTGCAATTTAAATAAAGCTCTGTGCAATGTCCCTTGAACTCCCCTGGTGTTATTCCCAGCAACCCCTAAAAATCCTCTGTCAGAAGGAAAGTGTTCAGCAAGAAAAAAAGTGTCCAGCTTCCCAAATCCCCAGGGACTGGAGCAGCCCTGTGACCAGCTGCAGCTCTGGGCCAAGTGTCTCCTGCTCTCAGCACCATCCTTGGATGCAGACAGGGGATTTGCAATGACAGACACAGCTCTTCTGGCCCACTGTTCATGCAGAGTGCTGTGCTGAATCAAACCAGATGCACATCTGGCTTCTTGGGGCTCGGAACCAGGGACGAATTTCCCCCTGGCGTGACGTGTTCCGTCGGTACAGTCACGGCCTTGCCCTGCAGACAGCAAAGCTTTGCACGCAGGATCCTGGCTCTGCAGGAAGGTGAGGATGTTGGTTTGTACTTTTTTTTTTCCCCTCCTTGCATCTCTGGTCCTGTTCTTTTCCCCCAGCCACCACCCGTGTGACGGCGGTGAAAGGAGACGTGCGGGACTACAAGGCGCTCCTGGCCGCCATGCAGGGGGTGCACGTGGTGATCCACACGGCTGCCCTCGTGGACTACAGAGGCACAGTGCCCTTCTGGGAGATGAGAGCCGTCAATGTGGGGGGTAAGCTCTGGAAAACGAGGAATTAAACCCGGCCTTAGCTTCCTCACACACCCTGGTGCAGTCACACTGTGACTGTGAGGAACACCCGCTCGGGTTTTGCGCTCCCTCGCTTCAGTTCCTGAGGAATAACCCTGTCCTCTTCTCACTTCGGCCTGGTAGTTCTTCACTGAGGGTTTCCATGTCATAACACTCCCACAGCTGCAGCCACAGACCCTTCCCTGAGCTGCTCCTGTGGAGGATCCCTCAGAAATCCCTGCCCTGTCCTGAATTCCATGCACACCACTCTACTGCGAGATGGGAAAGGTGCCCAGGACCTTTTTTTTTCCAGTGGGCAAGTTTCTGCCCTTGCTCCTCTGTCCTTGCTCAGGGTAGGTCATGCTGCTCCTCATCCCAAAACATCAGCTCTGGGCTCAGTTATTATACAGCTGTTCTGGTCCAGGGTATAACCTTCCCTAATAAGGGATCCAGAACATGCCCACAGTGGTAAGAAACTGTTTAGTGTGTGACAAGGACGACAATTAAAAGTTAAACCCTGTTCTAGGCATCTTCCCAGGGATAAAAAAAAGCCCTGTATACACCTGCACAAGGCTGTACACATTGAACTGCACCCACTAGAAGGGAGTGACATTATTTTAATCACAGTCAGAGTTCCCAAATAGGTACACGTGCCACTGAGAGCTCCACACCTCGTCCTTCCGACCACCAAGAGCCAGGTTTGTGTTCAGTGCAAGATCTGCTTAAAGAAAATTTGTTCATAAATCCAGGAAATAAGCACAGGCTGTAAAAATAATGAAATCCCTATTACAGCAGCAATTCCAGTGGCACCTCAGGCTGTTAGCTACTAAAATAGTCATTAACCAAAGGGAAAGGATTTAATTTTTTTTTTATATGTATATCTCAAACCCGGTTACTGCTTAGGGCTTCTACTATTTGCTGATACATTCGAGGGTAACATTTAAATTCTTCTTGCTGTTTTCAAAACCAGATGCTTTTAAGAGCCTGTGTTGTGCTCTTTGTGTACTGAGAATATTCAGAGCCTGAGGCTTCCCACTGCCTTGTAATGGCCTTGTGAGACCTTCCTCTTCACTGTGCTTGCTGTGAGCAAGGTACTTCAGCACAGGCAGGTTTCTAGAGAACACTGGGCACTCCCCTCTTCAGCAAACCAAACCTCTTGCAGATGTTTGTGACATTCCCAGAAAACCACACAGGCAAAGATTTTCCAGCGTGACTGAGTGTCCCTCAGGGGCACAGTTTGGGATGGCTTAACAGGAGCCTGTCCTGCATTTCTGCCTCCCCTTGGAGGAGGCACTTCTTCTCCCTTCACGTAAACCTCCCTAAATCTCCTCCACACAGACCTGCTGCCCTCATCAGGACTTCTTCAAATCCCAAAGGGAGAGAGTAGTCTAAACTTTTCTGTCAAAATCATAGCAGATGAAAGAACAAAAAATAGTATTTGATACCTGCTGCAGACTTCATGGAAAAAAATAGGGTCAGAACAGGTCAAGTATATAATCCTCTAGCTGGCTCCTCTGTGCAGCTCAGGCCGCAGAATTTCATCCAATTATTGCCTTAAGCCCAACAATTTGTGGCTAAATTGGACCAATCCTTTTCAAAAGACTTGTTGCCTCCAATTAAGGGTGCAAGTTAATGGGCTATCTATCATGTCTTTCAGCAAGCCATAACAATGCTGAGGAGTGGTGGTGTGGCTGTGGTTAATTCCCATTTCTGGCAAAAATTTACATCTTCTGCTTTGATTCTCTCCTCTGTTTCAACCACTGGCTGCCGAATCCTGTTACAGTCTTGTTGACTGGATTGAAGAATTCTCTTCTGCAAGAATTATTTTTTCCATCTAGTCACTTAAAGACTTTTTAATCTGCTTTTTGTTAAGCTGAATGGGTTTTAACTCAGCTGTTTCCAGTGATGTTTCTCAGCAGGGGTTCTCAGTTAACTTTACATATTGTGATAGGCTCATGGAGAAGCAGACTGATCCTTTTCCACCAGGACTTCACACTGATTTATGCCCTCTGAAATTATCCTAAACTCAGGATTTCCCTGGTAATTTCAGATTATGCCTTTAACAACAAAGAGAACAGGAATCACAAGCCTTCCCACACAAGATCTGCAGGGAGGTTCAGGGGCAGAGTCAGATTAGCCAAGTATAAATACTATGGAGGTTTCTGGAAACCAACCCTATGAGCTGCTCCCTTTAAGATCTGCCCTATCAGATTTGGAGGCCCTCAGAATGCAGCCATGGTTATGCTGTTGTCACTGAGATTCTCACAGATCAGCTTGAATCAAAATCACAATGAATGCAAAAACCACCCCTGGAAGAGTCAGAAATATCTGAACCCACAGAACACCCCAAACCAACCAAACCAAAGCCACACACACCAACCCACAGGTTCAGCCAGACCAACTTTCCTTAAACCAAACCATGCTCTGGATTCATCTGTTTTTCCTGTGGACTTGTGGGCTGCCCCTACAATCTTATTTCAAATTCTGCAGCTCTCAAGGGCCTGCTGCAATGGTTTCACCCTATAGCACCCTGCAGGGCTTCTATAGAGCCACACATGCAACTAAAACACTGAGCCTTTTGCCAGAAGGCTGCAATTCACCCAGCAGTCTGTCCACAAATCAAAAAAAAAGGATGGAAAACAAAGAGTTCTGCTCTGCCAAGCTGTCAGCTTCCTTTTTGTTAGCAACTAGAAAGTGCAAGTTAAGTCAGTGGCCAAGGGCCATAGAGGTTAAGCCACATTAAAGCTACAGATGGAACTGCTACTCCTATCCATTCCCATGCAAACACACCCGAGGAACCACAGCCCTGACCTGTGGCTTTGCATCTTTCCAGCCACAATAAAGCTGGATCTGCTCCAAGTGTCAGCATCCCAAGCCCGGGAATCTCTTTTGAGTGGCACAAGAGAAACCAAGCCAAGGTGGTTAACATTTGTCCTTCCTGAACAAGAGGAATCAAGGCAAAGTGTTTGATGTCTGTCCTTCCCAACCTGCCCCACAGGTACTGAAAATGTGTTGAGGGCCTGCCGTGCCCTGGATGTTCCATACCTTGTCCACACGAGCTCTGTGGCCGCGGTGGGACCCAACACCTCGTGTGAGCCCATGTTCAGGTGAGGAAGAGCAAATCTTCTCCATCCTTCTGGATTTCCAGTTAAACAGCAATGAAACTGCAACCAGATGGAGAATTTAGCTGTGGCTACGAAGGAGATACATGTTGCCCTTCCTGTCTGTTCCTCTTCTCTTCCTTGAAAATCCTTCCTTGCCGCTCTTCCCTTTTGGGAACCAGCTCTTCCCGACCTGAGCCTGGCCAGCTGTGAGAGCAGTGACTGAAAGGGTTGGGTGGGAGCTGAATGGCCCAGCTGCACCTCCAGGCTGTCCCCACGTGCACAGCCCTGCTCCTCTGAGCCCTAAAATCAGCGTCAGAGAAGGTCTCAGATGTTTGAGGTTTGGGCCGTGGTCAAGTTGCATCCTGCTGTCAGGTCACAGCTTTTGCTCTCCCCTTACAATCAGTCAACCCAAAGGGCAGGTGACCCTCTACTGCTGCCAGCACACTCTCCGTCCTCTTCCCAGCTCCACAGGGAATTGCCATTAAGCCTGTACCCATCTCCTGCTGTCAGATGTGGGCAAATCTCATGTAGCACTAACTCAGAAGAAAGTAATTTGGCCACACAGTCTCAGGGCACAGATGTATTGGTGTGAAGGTTCCCTGCAGCACTCAGGTGTATTTATACCCTTCTGTTACCTGGGCCTGACCTGTAAATTGTGTCCTTCTATCCCTCAAAATCCATTTTCCTGGCAACAAGCTCATGAGGGCTGATTCCTGGACTCCTGATGCCACTACTTTGGGTCACTGTGCTCAACCCATCTCCTCTGTGTGTGGCTCCCATGAGACCAACCCACAGACCCAGAAGAAGCAGCAGAGCTTCAGAAAACCCTCTGTGGCAAAGGTGGGATTTGCAGCAACACAAAGACAGTGGTCAAAATTACAATTCTGAGGGGTTTTTTTTGCTTACAGATCTTTGATCTCCAGACTTGACTGTCACAATCAGCTGCCACTCCCGCTCAGGGCTCAGCACTGGGACACCTTTGGTATTCCTGGGTCAGCAGGGCTGCTATTTCTGAAGACCAGGAGCTGAGGTTTTAGGTCGAATTTGAGGTCAGGTAGAAATATCTGCAGCCTGATATGTGCTATTGGAAGGGCCCTTGCTGGTTCCAAGCATGGTTGTAGCCACACAGGCCATGCTCAAACCACGGAAACTTGAGTGCAAGGGGAACTGGCTCAAAGTCAGGGTTTTTTTCTCTCCAGGCAGCCAGGCTGGGCACAGCTGGCTTAGTCGCTCCAGAAATCTGAGCCCAGCTAGAAAAGGCTGCTTAAGATATAACTTAAAATGACCTACAAGCCTAAATTTCACCCTCACAAGTAAGCTAAGGCATAACCCAGTTGTTTTGAAAAGTGTTTAAGTACCCAAATCTGTAGAATAAATGTCCAGCTTATGGGAAAAAAAAAAATCATGAGAGCAACAAATCACTTGGGACTACGAGCAACAGAGAGTCTGTGTCACTGCAAAGCCATGGAATTTGTTCATTAGCAAATCCAGGTCATTTCTAAAAATGAATGTAGATACAGGCACGTCCTTGTCAGTATTTTAGTCCTGAGACTGAAGAGACAGATGTGAATAGATGTCTTGAAAAAATCGACCTCAGATCTTGCCTGAGAGCACAGTCCTTTGGCTTGTAATGGCGGCACCAGTGGGGGCAAGCAAAACACAGCTGGGCTGAAGCTCGTGGAGTTACACCTGGACATCCTCTGCCCACCACATCCCAACCCTTCCCCACCACGAATGCAAATAAAAGCACACCTAGAGCCTCTGAGGCACTTGGCAGAACACACTCAGGTTCTGCCATTGAGCTGGGAGGAGGCTCAAGAGGGTGGCCTTCATCCTCCAGTGATTTTGATTCTAAACTAAGGGAATTACATAATGAGAGAAGGGTCAGCCCCCCCGTCAAAACTTACACCACGTGCCTCAACAGGGAGCCCAGGGATGGCTGGAGGGCAGTGAAATATGGCTCTGTTTTCCAGACTGAAAGCACCTTTTCCCTTGTCTTCTCATCTCCCCCTTCCCCACCCAACCTGTTCCACCCTCTCCCTCACAGCCCGCGATCCCGCCTGCCTTTCCCCTTTTTTCTCTGTGCCCCTTCTCCACCATTCCTCCTGTAATTTATTTAACTCCCTTTTACGTCGACACAGACAAAGCCCGGTGAGTCCCTGGCCGGGGCGATGGGTGCGGGGATGACGCTCACACCTCAGCATCCGACAGGAATAGAAAATGCCTCTGTCAGTCCCGATCCCCCCGGGACTGCCAGCGCTGAGATCCCTCCTGACAACGCTGCTCCGCTCTGATTAGCGTTCGGTTCTCTCTGATCGTTTTGAAAAGCAAGAGCATTGTGCTGAGCTCTTTGTTACTCCCGAGCTCGGGAGGGGAGGGGGAAGGCACACGAATGGAGCGCCGGGGTGGGTTCGCCCCCTTTGTGGAGCTGCTGCTTTTTAAAAGCTTTGCGAGGCAAGGAAAAAAAAATTGGACTGGGAAAAAAACCCAGCAATTAAAACTAGAACTTCTAGATAACCCCTCCTATTTGTCTTGGGCCTCTCCCGGGCTTGCAACAAACCTTGCACAATCTGTCTTTTGTCTCGCTTGTTTTTCGGTTTGTCTCTTGCTCATCACCTGTAAACACGGGGAAAGGGAGGATGGTTTTGTGCTAAAAGCCCAGGGTGTGCGAGGAGGCTGCATTTCTGATGCTCCTAATTTATTTCTGTTGCTGCAGCACAAGAAGCCCCTGGATCTCAGCTGGGATACCCGGCACACAACACACTGGGCTGCTGAACAGGCAGGAGCAAGGCAGCAGCATTATCCACGTTTTACACATGGAAATCTGAGCAGAGAAAAGGGAAAGCAAGTAGCCCAAGGTCAGACAGGGAGCCTGAGACAGAGCTGGCCCTCCCGGGGCCCAGTGTTTGACAAAAACACCTCTGCTGCAGATCTGCTGTGCGAACTCGCCACAGGCCACTCAACCCTTCCAAGAGGTGCATCCAAGCCCCATCTGCCAAAGGAGCAGGATAATTCCCCACTGCCCTGCATGGGGTGCCCCATGCCTGGCAGAGTGCTGGGTTTGCCCGGAGTGGATTTCTCTTAGAGAGCAAAATATAGATTAAATGAATTAAAAAACGGGAAGAAAGTCTCCTGCAGCACACAGAGGGAGAGAGAGCTGATCCATGCTAGTCACGGCAGCAGGGGAACAAGTGCCCACACAGTATTCATGGATGGTCCTTCCCAATGCTTCAAACAAGGTTTCTTCACTCCCCAGCCCCTCCAGAGCCCACTGGATTTGCTTAAGCAAATCCAAATTAGTGAAGAACTAGTCTGATCTAGAACCACTGGGACAAAACACCTTCAGCCTGGTGAGGAATAGAGCTGCTCTCTTGTTTCTCCTTGGAATTATTTCAGGCCCTGTGAGGCCAGTTACACTTTAGATCCCAAGGGTTTCCCCTTTGCAGCTGTGAGGTGGGAGGCTGGGGAGCACATTGTCTTCCACAGCCACAACCCAGTGTCCCCAGCACGGCTGGAGCCCTGCTTGCCCTTAATTGTGGGTCATTGCTTTGCCTTCCCCTCAAACTTAATTTGTTAGGGGAGATGAAGGAACAATCCCAGCACAAACCTGCTGATTGCAAGTCTTCCAGATCACCAGCAGCTCTATCACATCCCCAGCAAATGCCTCCCAACTTTAATCAACTCTGTGAGAAAATTAAGTAGTAGCTTCTCCTTTTAGTTTATGGCTCATGAGAGGCTTTTCTCTGCCTTTAATGAAAAAATGAAGCAGGATTGCTCTCATTTTTCCTGCCTTCCATCTTCTTATGCTCTTTTCACCTTGTTCAGCTTCTGTGAGTGGCTGAACAGTGTAACTCCACTGCCTTCTAATTTGCCCACTGGGATATTATTTGCTTCCGTCGCACTCTTGGACAAAACCAAACCCAGCTCTCAGAAATCAAACCAGTGCCCTCATGCCAACCTGGATGTGAACACCACAGACCACCTGGTGTTTCTTGGGGCCTTATTTCTCCCAGACTGCAGCAGGGATCTCAGATTCCCATAACTGCCAGCCAGTAGCAGTCCCCGGGCAGCAGGGACTGCAGAGGAAATCCCGCTGGGACAGATGTCTCCAAACCCTGTGGTCACTCACCATCTCTCCCAATGTGTTCCAGAGGAAATGAGGACACTGAGTACAGTGGGGAAGTGGAGCTGCCCTATGGGAAGACAAAAGCCATGGCAGAAAAACTTGTACTTGAAGCCAACGGAAAAAAGGTACCAAATCCAAGGGCAGCACCCCTGGAATTACAGTACAGGATGGGGAAAGGAGGGAGTTGGTTAAAAAGACCCCACAGCTCCTGTCTAAGTGTGTATCCAACTGCTGCCTTGATTTGATGCACAAACCACAATGTCCTAAGCTTCCCAAAGCCCAGTATTCCCACACCAGCAGGAAGCTGCCAAACTCTGGCAGGATCAAAGGATGCTTCCCTTTGAGCCTGTGCTTCAGCTCCAGCAGGACTGTGACTTTGGAAAGAGCTGTGCTAAATCAGGGTTGAAGAAACCAGGTTCACCTAGTTCATACTGCAAAAAAGTATAATTTCCAGGCATGTCTGAGTGACTTCAGAACCAAAAATATTGGTGCACCCAGAGTCAGCCCCCTACCTAAGGCAGCTGGCCAGTCTTTGAGAGTGCCAGGACAGTCAGCAGGCAGAGGAGTTCTTCTAGGGAATGAAGCAGAACATAAAAATGAGACCTGTGTCCTAAATCACTGCCTAGAGCATCCCTTCCCAAGTTACAGTTTGAGGCCACTCAGCTTGGTTGGTCTCCTCTGGTACCCGATTTTAGTTGTTGCAAAAACTCATCACAACTGCAGAAAAGTTCATGCCACCAGCACCCTCCATCCAGCACCTCCCAGGGAGCATGTGTGGGTGCAGGTGAGCAATGAAAAAAAAAGCAGAATCAAACTGGGCACCTCCTGGCATTTTTAGGCACCCAAACCGTGTCCCAAACATCCAGAGCACCTCTGCAAATGGCAGCTCCTCTAGGCCAGTATTCCCAGGTTTTGGGTTTATCCGGCAAACCCGCGGTGGAAGAATTTCACCTCTGAGTCCATCCCTCACTAACATCCCTCCCCCGTTTTCCAGCTGAGCCACGGTGGTAAGCTCACCACCTGCATCATCCGAGCCAACACCGTGTATGGGGAGAAGGCAGCGTTTCTCCAGGAGCTCTACAGGGGGGCCAAGGCCAGGAAGGGGGTCCTGAACTTCCTGGAGCCTGAGGACTCGGAGCGGAATCACACCTACGTGGGTGAGGGACTGAGCTCTCTGCCTGCTTCAGCCACAGGGGGTTTTACACATCACCTTAACCATAATCTTCCAAGGCAGAGAGATGAATGTGGTCAGTGAGCACAAATGTTCTTAAAGCCACAAAACTAAAGAATTTTTCAGGCAGCTGCTCACTATGACTGTTTTCCTGAGAAGGGTTTTCTTTTTTTTTTCCTTGGTAAATGTTTTAGGGGGTATATGGGGGGCAGAGAGAGAAATTCAGGTAATATTTTGAAAATGTTTTTGCTTTGAAAAGATACTTAATTTCTTCTTCATTAGAAGAAATCATCTTACCACTACTTGTCAAATTCCTTACAGAAAAGGCTGTGCTACATAAATGATTTTAGCAAGCACAAGAAACTACTCACAAAGCCTACAGGAGGAGTTTGTTGTGGTGCTGAATGCCTTTCAGGGGAGTACAACTCACCATTAAATCATGCAGGGGTTCAGTCATTTCCGTGCAGCACACTTAGATGTCTTTTCCCAAAAGTGCAGATAACAGTATTTTGAAAATGCTCTCAGAGACGAATCAGGCCCAGATAAATCAAGTGACTTCTTCAAAGGCTCACAGCAGAGCCAGGAATAAAACCCTCGAGCACTGACTCTCATTCATCCTCCTCTCACTACAAAACACTGCCCTTTCCCTTCACATGAACCAGGATCACGAGGCACATTAATTGTCCAGCTCAAAGAGGAGACCAAAGGTTTAAAGGATCTTGGAGGCCTGGATTAACTCCTCAGTCTCTCTACAGTGCAGCTGAGCACACCATGAGTGCTTCCCTGCTTCCCAGCACTGAGGCTGGCAGATCCAATGTACTCATTCTACAGTAAACAGGGAAATTCAGCTCCTCCTGAATACCTGTTTCTCTCCCCTCTTATTTCTCCAGGGAACGTTGCATGGATGCATGTCCTTGCAGCAAGGAACTTGCAGCTGAAACCAGGCTTGCTGGCAGGACAAGTGTACTATTCCTATGATGACACTCCAACCAGGAAAGGTTTCCTGGTCAGGCACCAGCTGCTGTCCACTGCAGACCCCTCGGTGAGACTGGGCTCCCACATCCCCTACTGGAAGATGTGGTTAATGATACAACTGCACAGGATAATCAGGGTCATCTTGTTGCCCTTCTGGAAGCCACAGCCTTTCCTAAACCTCCCTTTGCTGAACACAATAGTCACCACCTTCTCCTACGAGACAGACAAAGCCTCCAGGCATTTCGGGTACAAACCCCTGTTCACCTGGAACGAGAGCAGGCACAGAACTGCCCAGTGGCTGAGAGCAGCTGTGGGCAACCTGGAACCCCCCCAGCTCCCCGGGAAGAAGAACTGAACCCCACTTTTGGGGCGAGGAGATGGCTCAGCGCACCGGCAGGTTCCACCTGAGCTTCGCAGTACGTGCAGATCTCTGGCAGGAACTTTGCAAGCACAGAAATCCCGGTGCTGAGACAGAGAAGGAGCAAAACTCTGAGGCTGCAAATGCATACACCTGTCATGCCAAAATCTCAGCTATTTTGTGTTGTCCTGTGGAACACCAGGGTGCATTCGAAAGCTTCCTCTCTTGCAGCCACGTGGGCCTCAGTCACTGCCATGGTGCCACCACTGCATGGGGTCACTCCTGGGAACAGGACAGACAGGCTCAGGAGAGAAAGGGTACTCAAAAAACACCTTTTTCCTGAAATTAGTTAACCAGTTTTGTTCCACAGCCTAAGAAGCCATGGCCTCAGACAACTGGTGGGATGTCTGTACTGGCTCATACAGTAAAGGGTATTCTTTTGTATAAAAAGCAGACTTTTTTGTATGAAAAGTGATACTTTTGGGGAAGACGAGGAAAACCCAGCAAGTTCTTGTTCTGCTTTAGGGTTTAATAAACAGAAAAAAAAAATCAACTTCTTTTCCAGAACTACCTTTTGCAAGATGCTTCCTTATTTTTGACAAGTAGAATATTATATCTGTTTAGAAATATTACCCCTCTGAAAAGAAACCTCCAACCTCTTGTGCTAACAATGTATAGGCTTAGCTCCTAATTGCATGGATGGAGAACTGATGTCTACAAGCTCAAAGGTGGGGTTCATATATTTTTAAGTCTGTCCCAGCACTCCAGCAGCAAAGCAAAGCAGATTAAAGCCCACGTTCAGCTGCTGTGCTGGCAAACAGCAACTTCAAGTGAAGGCCTGAGGGGCTGCATTTATGCTAAATAACGTTTGAACTTCAGGAGGGAGAGGTCACTTCAGCTCATTCCGTGGCACTGCAGCTACACAGTCCATCTGGGAGCAGCGTTTCACAGATGATATTTTCCTAACACAGATGGGGACAGGCACTTCCAGAAAATTCACAGCAAAACTGTGGTTTCTATCAGTTTATCGGCTTCTCTATTTTTAAGACATACGGAGGGGCTGCTAAATCTACATTATGCACAGTTGAGATTTCAGTTTCCACTCGAGCTTGGAGGAATGGGGCATTTTTACAATGCTGGTTCAAATCTAAAATTAACTCTGTTGGTATCACACTTCTGTGTTCTGTGAATACATACCCATCTCAAGTGTTCCTAGAGTAAAAGTGTGCACAGGCACAAATCAAAGCTTATTTTAATTACGAGCACCCCAATAATCCTGGAAAAAGCAAGTTTCAGCATGGCATCCTTGACAGAAATGATCAAAATTTGCTTCCTGTTAGTCCCTGTAATTACCCAGGAAGGAAAGTGGAGCAATACAGCGTGAGCTGCCAAGTTACATTTGCCGAAACTCACTCTCACATTCACTCTTTTTCAAAACGAGCTTGCAAATCAGAAATCAGTCGCTCTGGTAATTCATTACTAACTTTATGTAACAAATAAATTCGGGCAAAACTGTTGCAGTCTGCTCACAGGGAATGTGAAAGGTTGAAGTAAGTGAGCAGCTTCCTACTGGTTTTTCCCCCTACCATTTGTGATTGGGGGGGGGGGGTTGTTTAAGGGAGTAATAAAATTTCTGGGGTTTCTATTTTTGCTAAAAGTCTCTTCGCAGTTTTTCTGCCATTATCCAAGGGGTAGCTGACAGCCCTTTAAGAATTCGATGAAGAAATCCGCCCTCGATCCCTCGCGCACATCGCCAGGGGCATCGCCCGGTGTGCCGGCGTTGACCTCAAAAGGTTTTTAGCGCTCCTGAAACGATGGATTTATCCTGCCAAAAAAAGAGCCACTGGGTGGAGCTGCGAGTCTGGGAACAGGTACCATCCTCGTGGGAGCCTGTGCTGCACCCGCTGGGCTTTAGGTGCTTTTTGAAAGAATTAAAATCCCTGCCCAGGCAGCGAGGCCGAAGGAGGGGTGGGAGCCTCTGCCCAGCCAGGTCTGGCCTCAGCCTGGGGCACTTGGAGTTCTGGACTTCCCTTGGCTGGCTGGAAGCAGTTTTATCTTCCCGTAGCCATGGAATCAAAGAGAATGGAGAAATTCATTTTTCCACTCGGAACTCGTTAGAAAAGAATAAAAGTTTGCTTTCTGTGTTTAAAAATAGAATTAAATCTGGCACCCCGAGCCCCGGGAACGCTTGCGCAAGAACAACACGCCGGTGCCTCCGGTCCCATTCAGAGCCCTGAGTGTGTTCCTTTGTGGGATTTGGAGCTGCTGGAGATATCAGATGGGAGAGTTGTCAAGCCCCAATACTATCCCAGAGATTAATGCCTTACAAGCTTGCCTGCTTTCAGAAACCTCGCTGGGAACCTCATCATGCTTTTGTTCCTGTCCTGCTCATCATCACCTCTGATTCTGATGCTTATCAGGATGCAGATGACATGCAGGATAAGCAGCAGGGATTTTCAAAGGTGGTTAAGTGCAGCATTTTTCAAAAGCATCTGAATTAGTTGGCTGCTCAGCTTTTTTTTCATACCTACCCACCTCCCAAGCTTTGACAAAAGCAAGTAGAGGATTCCCCTTCCCTGTTCATGGCAGAAATGGGGGGAAAAGTTAGACAGCAAAGCCTCTGTGCTGGTTTCCAAAAAGATGAGTAAGCTTCCTTTGGCTGCCCTGCCTTTTGGCTCCTCCAAGCTAATGCTGCAGCAGACTTCCTGTTAGATCCTTGATTTTATCAGATTATAACTTGTTTTCCCCTGGCAATGCTTTAATTCTTTCTACTGCATTGGGTTGTCATTGGCTTTTCTTTTCAGGGTCTCAGCACTATTATGTAACAGCAGCAGCAAGAAAAAAAAGAGAAAAGAAAAAAATATTTCAGATCTGTTTCTACTTCTGGAGAGGAGCCTTTGTGCACAATTACTCATCCAAGAGATTCAGCAGGTATAACTGCTTCCCCCAGGGGCTCCATTATATAATTGGATTTCAGCCATACAAATTAAATCCTATCTTACCCCTTAGTTAAGCCAGGCAGTAAGTATTTAATGCTAATATCCCTGACAACTATTGCAGGGAGAAGCAGAGCTGGAGCACAGAGGAGACAGATGCAGGCAATCTCTGCTGCAGGAGCAGGGAGGATGAGCAAGGAGTGCCCTGACAGAATGACAGACACCTGCTGTATTTTAAACATGGCTAAACTTCCCCAGGACAAGCTGGAGTTGTTGTCTGAGCTGGAACGTGGCTCTCCCTCTGTTTTCCATCCTGCAATATTCCCATGTGTGCGCCGGGCGCTCAGCCCCCAACACGCACACTTCAAAGAGCCACATGCCTAACCCTGTTTGAGTTTCTGTGGAAGCCTCTGTTCTTGTGCAATGTCTGAAGGAAGCGAATTTAGTAATATCACAACTCAAGCCAAACGCAAAACCAAGCAAAGGATCCCCAAATTAAAAAGAGAATCTCAACCCAGTTACTCATTCATCTGCATTTTCTGCCGCGTTCCGTCTTCTCCCGGCCTGTTCCTGTCAGACAAAGCCCTCTGGGCAGAGACCATCTCTTTTGGTGTCTGGTACATCAGTCACGGAGTTAGTGCATAGTAATAAAGGAAAACAGATTCCTGGTAGGAGTTAAACCAGTCAGTCTGGTACCGTAATTGGAACATAATCTCATATTGACAGTATTTAACACAGGATGTGCAGGGAACAGATGGCAGCAGGCCAGGCCTCCATCGGCCTGCAAATATTGGAAAGAGATTTTCCAAGTCCAGCTCCTGAGCCTCATCTCCGATGTCGGAAGCTTCCCTTCCCCGAGCGGGCCTTGAGCCACTGGCTAATCCTGGTTAAGGCCCCACAGGCTCCTCTGCTCCCGGCCCTGCAGACAGCCAGAGCTCCCACTGCCAACTGCCTCGGGAGCACTTAGAGAGGGAGCTGAAACAGCATCGAGGGCAAAAGTCTCCATAATCCATTGGTCCAAACAGTCCCAAACCTCGGGATACACCTGTGAGCCTCCCCCTGGCAGAGGGACCTGCCTGTGGCACCAGCACGACCCCACGTGCACCTTCAGTGCCAGGGCCACCCGCCCGTGTCACTGCGCTGCTGCTTTCCCCTGGAAAGGCCTCAGTCCTCCCATGATCTCCCAGGAACGTGCTGGCAACAGGGACTGATTCCTTTCTCCAAGCCCAAAACGCTGAGCTAAAGCAGGTGAAAGGAGAGGAAGCACATTCATTCCAAGGCTCATCCCGTGGTACAGAGTGCAGACACGGGCTCAGCTTTCCAAGGGGGTGGGAGAACCACACCGTGCTTCTCAGAGCTGCTACAGAAAGTTCAAATTGATTTTTCTCTGTTTCAGCAATTAATTCCCATTAATCAACTTACTGTACAATGCTGCGCTATAATTCACGAATTTTATGCACTATATGAATAAAATTGCACATATATTTTTATGTGATTTTCATTTAATTGAATTCCGGGGAGATTTATCTGCTGGGTTATTAATAAATCTTAATATGGCCTATAACATTCAATTGATATTTAATTAACCTGCAATAACTGCCTTGTAAAATGTAAATTAAATGCTTTATTTTTTCCAGGCGTATAACGTTAAATCAAATTCTTCGTTCTGCCAGTAAAACAAAAAAGAAGTGGGGGGGGGGGGAAAACCAAAGCTTAGACCTGAAAATATTTGATGTTTAAAGAGGTTCAAACTGGAAACCAGATCCCATGCTTTGTAATCAGTTCTTCTCTCGAGGAAGTACTTTTCCACTGTCTCCCCACCTTTAAAGATCACAGGAATTTGGGTGGATTTAGATGAAACATCAAAATCTCAGGAGGTTGGAAGAGAAGTGAGAGGCGCCCATTATTAATAATAAGGTTGCAAATTCCCATAGGTATTGTGGTATTTGGCATTTTTCTTAAAGTCTTGGCTCCTACAGTCACAAATGAGAATGTCAATTTTCATTTAAAAATAAAAAAAAAAAAAAAAAAGGAAAGATGTTAAAGCCCTTTGATAGGGGAAGTTTGCAAACCTGAATGTCAAAGGCATGAGAACTAAGAGACAAAAATACATAAAATTTGATCCTTATCTTTAAAAGTATCAGAACTTTTTGAGACTGAGGTGTTTGAAAACTGGGAGGTGGCAACAAATGATCAAAACAGCCTTTACAGGAAAAGATGAGAACAATCCAAATTATATTTTAAGATCAAACTGCTTTCCTCCCCCTCCCCTGGCAATTTACATAGATCTACATTAAATACTGCAAACTGCAAAAACAACTGGTTCTGATTTCCAAACCAGGATAGCTGGCTGCCTTTGCAAGGTGATGTGAAAACTTCAGGAGAGTATGACTGTCCAGAATTGATAAGCCTATAAAGTTTTACTGCTATAGCATCTAAACTTAGTATATCTTTCTTTTTTTTAATGCATGGAGTGGCCAATCTGTCTTACAATATTTTATTAAACAGGGTATTTCCACTGAAGGACAGTAACCCTCACTGTCTGTAATCTGTCTGCATTAGATCACTTTAAAAGGTATTAAATGAAAATCAAAAGTTAAATGTACCATGGAT